TGTTTGAAGCTGGTGTAAGAGCTCAAGCCAACATTGCAATCAGGCTCATTCCTTGTGGCTGTGCTCCCTCATGTGGGTATGCGATGCTGAGAGGGTTGTTGCTTTCACTGCTGTACATTGCAATCAAATCAACCAGCAGAGAGTGGGACGCAGCCCAGTCCGTAGCCTAAATACTTTTGGCACGGTGTGCCCACTGTTTTGTTTTGTGTTTTTTTCGGTTGATGCAATTAAATGATATGACTTATACAGGCAAAAGGCTAAAAAGAAGTAACGGGGGGATGTTGCGGCGGCATGATCAAGTCAACGCTGCGAGCCAGCCTGCCCGTCACAGGTTGAAACCCACAGGTCACTCTGGGACACAAGCAAGTGGAGCTTTCATTTCCCGTCAAAGAGATGCCGAGAGAAGCTTTCCAAGGCATCATTCGTGGGCTAATTGGGCCCCGGTGGGTGACACTGCAGCATCATAAATAAAACAAACACAGTTGCGGTGTTTCTGCCACTGGACTCTTTAAACCTTCATCATAGAATAAGCGGTTCCGATGAAACACCAAGACTAATTACTCGGGTACAGGGCTGTTATCTTTTCTGCCTCACTGTAATTGATCCTCTTTTTTTCTGAATGCATTTATGCTTTTAATCAGAAACAAGTGCATGCACTGCCTGGGAGCTTGAAGACCTTGTAGGAGCCGATAATTAGCCACAGTGGTTAATGGGCCTAACTGTGCTTGTGTTTTACATGACTCTACAGTGCTATAATGGGACGGAGCTTGGAGGAGACAGTGCTCAGGGGTGATACATTTGTGATTAGTCTTCTCACTTCACCACTGGCCTCTTCACACCTTAACTTTGCACAGAGCACCACAACCTCTGGTGTGGAAAATTACATATATTAAACTGCACTCACTAATCACATCTGCTCAGTGTAAACCTTTGACTGATCCATGACCAGTTTTTTGTGTTCAATAATTATTTTTTTCAATTCAACAGAAAAGGTTCAGAGATATTGAAACACAGTTGTTTTTAATATGAAATGTAATGTATGAGATGCATATGAAGTGTTCTTAATTGCATTTATGTGTTTGTACAGTGGCGTGTATGTTTATTTAGACAGATAAATAACATGCCCCGGGTAGTGAATTATAAATCAGGATTGTTGTGTTGTTTTTCCATTCCTTCTTTAAAAATTGCATTTATTTAAACTCCATCAGCTGCTTAATTGTCACGCTGTGAATTTTTCATTCTTCTGGGTTTGCTGATGATTTTACTTTGCTATTCAGCCAGTGGCCCCATCCCTGTGACCATATATCCATATTCTTTCTGAGCCTATAGAATGTGTCAAATAGAGGTGTCCTAATTGTGTCCTTGATGAAAGGCTATTGATATTGAACATTTTCACATTCAACCATGTGCCAGAGCTGAGGAAATGTGTTTTCCCTTCTTTCCCTGAGACAAAAAGCGGATCCGTTCATATCTCTAATGATACCTGATTCCCCTGGGGTTAGTGTAGAGACTAGCGGTGGCTTTAGCAGATTCATCAAACAAAATACGGTGCTCTTTCCTCAGGAGGCTGAGAGTCATGTTGCATTATATCACTGTTAATTAGAATGAAATATGCAGTTCAGTTAATCTTTGTATTGTTTTCGAGCGCATGTGTTCGTGCTAACTATAGAGCACCACTGTAACACCAAATATTAGAAAGCTTAACACTTTTTTCCTCTCACCCGTCTTTCAAGGCAGTATTCTTTTCTCTCAGTTACGCTCCAAATATCAACAAAACAACATGAGCCGATAACTATTCCATTATTCCAGTTTTTTACATTTAGGGTAAAAACAGCTTTTGAGAAAGCATGAAATGTTGGTATTATTCTCACAAGCAGGAGTGTTTTGCATGTGACAGTAACTGGTCTGATTGACCTAGGTGGCTGGGTGCCTGGGTGTCACATGTCATGTTGTTTTTGAGGAAGGTGTCTGTGGCCAGTTGCTGTCCTGTGGCCAGTGTCAGAACCAAACAACCTCTGATCTGGGAGCAGCAACTGTCAGGCCTGCACCTGTAACACAGAGACCTTTCATCACCTCCCATCCACAAGGAAGGTTGTGTGTGGACATGCTTTATGTCTCGTGGCACTCATTGGCCCGAGCAATACTCTTGAGACTGGACATGATCCCAGCTGTTGTCTTCATTTTAATGCACTCTGAATAATATTAAAGCAGAATCATTTGAATTTATTAATGCAGCTCGGCCCTCAGAGAGATGCTTTTAAAGGCCAATGATTTAATTTCAGCTCTTAAAGGCCATCATCTGTTCTTGATGCTATAAAGAATTATGGCTTTTGCCATATCTTAACACCATTGTGTGCTATGGGCAGTAAAATGAATTATTAGTAAACGGGAGAAACTGAAAACAGCTGCTATTAGTGACCATTTTTCTTTCGGTTGTTATCTCAGTCGTATTCCCTCCCGACTCTGGGTTACAACACCGGGCCCAGTTATGACAATTTATTTCTTCTATCATCAAGAGAGACTAAAGATGTGTTCATATTCACTCGGCAAAGCAATAAGTAACTGAAGCAACCTACTTTTGTCCTTTCATTTATATTATTTTCCTCAGCAAATCCTCCTCTTTATTGGTGTCAGAGTTCTGTCTGCAGGCAGAGCATAACCTCTGCACCATTAATTTAGGCCTGTTGGGAGTTAAAGCACAGTCACTGATCCCTATGACCTGCTTCTCGGGTGGTACAAGGAGACCGATACCACATGCAAAAGAGCTTTAGCATATGTGAGTCAACTATTAGTGGTGCTTTTGTTATTTTGTCCTACTGTGTGCATTATGTCTCTCTGAGAGGAGGTCAAAGAACCTTAACAGCAATGCACATGTAGCAATTACTAAGGAGGTGCTCAGAACAGTGGCTTATTTAAATGAGGAAGATTTTTTTTTTCTCTCCCTTGTTTTGCATCTCCTTGTAAAGCCTCGCAGAACTGCAACAGAGAGAAAGGGTTCCGTGTTCTCTCTCCCTGCACTTGGTAGTTTGACGCCCGCTCCGGGACTGAACATCAGAGGAGCGGCTGCTGAAAAAACAGGTTGTATGGGTCCTTGCACACAGTCTGCCTGTGGTGCTGCCTGAAGGACTGCCATGGAAACAAGGAGTGTGACAGGCTCTGGGGGGATCCGCCACAGCTGCAGGCACTTCCTTTTTGACAGCCTGATGAAGACATCACTGCCACACCATGCACAACAACAACAACTACTACTGGCAACAAAAAAAAATATGATCAGACAATGTTAACTGCTGTGTGGCTGAAATGTTCATTAGCAGGCTTGTAAAACATCCTGGGATTCTGCCCATCACATTTGGGGACCATATTGCACGGTAACTTACTCTGGTGAGATTCATAATCGTCCCAGGAGAAAATACACTGATAAATAATTCCTTAAATATGATTACACCACTTTGAAGATGGGCATATGTGTGTTTGAGGACGTGTACTGTATGCTTAGGTGCTGTGAGTGCGCACTGGTGCATGAAAAGTCGAATCAACAATTGTTGAAACCCTGTCAGACACTTCAGTATTATCCACTGAATATAAATGATACAGGGAACATCATAGTCCACAACCTCAGTGCCACAGATTCAATCATTTGACAGCTTGAAGGCAAGCAAATATGTTCCCAAAGGATCACAAGTAATACACACATACCCACAAATACATGTACAAATATTGTATATATGTATATATATGTATGTATATATATATATTATAAAGCTTGTTATTCACTCTTGTTTTCAGGTGTTTTGTCAGAGATTTAGATAGCGGTAATTTAGCTGTTTGTTGAAATGTCGATTAAGTACCCCGGGAGTATTGCTTAATTGGTTTCACCTCTTGGGGACACTTCAACGTGTCTTGCCAGTGATCTACTTGTACCAGCCTCCTCCCCCCCCCCCTGCACTTCCCTCTAAGCACAGCCAAAACCAGCCCCCCAAGCCCCAACAGAGCCAAGAATGTAGGAGGGTTTCAGCCAGTGTGTGGGATTTAGCTCCTCAGAAGCTCAGGGTCACCTCCACACCCTCTCACTTTGAAACGGACCCCTGGTGGCAGCTCCTGGGAGATCCCAGTGATGTCTCTATCAGCCTGTCAAAAGAGATAGCCTGGGGCTCCAGCAGGTCCCCATGAGCCAATCAAACTCTTCACAAAGCACAGATGGATGCTCTTTCACTAGCAAGCCATTCCTGAGGAGGGGGCACCCGGCCGCGATGCTGAGTCCCCCAATCAGTTAAGACAAAATCCCATTGCTGGGGTCCATTCCTCGGAGCAGCTCATCTTCAATTATAACTATGTATATTTCAAATGCTGGCCTTTTGTCTACTACGCGAAATACACAAGGTTGAAAAAGAGTTTAATTTTTATACAAATAGAACACAGAAAATTTCACAAGCCCTCATTCCATTTTAAGGGCCTAAATCTATGCCTCATTTATATGCAAGAATAATGTGATATTGGTCAAATGTGTCAACAAAAAATGAAAAATGCCAAAACCTGTCTATAAATTTCTGTACATACAGTAAATATGAACAAAAGCTCACAGAGGAGGGGAAACTATATCTCTCACACTTGGAAAAACTATTGCGGGAAGACAGATGGAAAAACAGAGCGCATGTGTGTGTAACCATTAGACAGGCCAGGTGATTTTAGTGGAAATATAAAGCACTAAGTGCTGAGGATGGAGAGAGTACTCCCTGTGAGATGAGCTCTTTCTCTCTCATCTGGACCCTGTTATTGTGAGAAGGCAACAAAGCAATGCATTAGGAAGCACACTGGAGCCACACAGCTTTGATGTTAGCGCGGTAACCAAGGCACAGCGGTGGCCGGTATGTGAGCTCAGTTTCAATGGCCGTGTTGTGTAATCAGATGTGTTTACTGTGTATTCAAGTAAAGAAGTGGTGTAATCCATCCTCTGTTGGAAGCAGTTATTAGAAAAAAAAACAACATAAAATGCAAGAACTCACGCTGATAAACATTCTTTATTTAACATTTTAACAACATCTCCCTTCCATGATGAAAATATAATGTTTAACTTTTAAATGGATAGAAAATAAAGTGTCCCAGATATACTTGAGATAAGGTGCAGTGAATCAACACATATTCAGTAAATAGACGGATTTCTGTCAATAAAATGAAAAATTATGGCAGCATTGTACCACATGCAGAAAATACAAGAAAATGGACTAAATAAGTGTAATCTGTTCAAATGTAATAAGCACAAAAAAAAAATCCTTGGCTATTCAATATGTGTTTTCATTCTATTAACGTACAGACAATTTCCTTGAGGCAAATTTCTCAGTTACACTGGAGTCAGAAAAAAAAGAATAAACATTGGAGGTCTTTGGTAAGCCAAAACAGACACCATCCGTTCCTTTTTCTACATCGCGTCCAAAAATGAAGACTGTGCCTTGAAACGCTCTCTTTTCTTTACCTCCTAGCTTGTGATTGACAGCACCACGTGCTGCCCTCCTGGCTTCTGCAGTTCGCAGACCCTGTCAGGGGGGTGGCAAACACACAAGACCAGAGAGCGGCCGGCCGGCCCTCAGCAGCAGGGGGCAGAGTTAGGGTGGCGTGGTGGGGTGTGCGGGGTCACGGGTTCGGCGGGCACTGGGGCGTTATTGTCAGGTGGACTGCATCTTACCGCATTTAAAAAAAAAGAGACCAGCCTTTCATCCGAGTGTACCTGCCGAGCTTACTTCTTCTTCCGCAACTGGTTCTGGCCGGTGGGCGCTCTCAGCACACTGTACTGCACCTGTAAAAACAAACAGGAGTTTGGTCAGAGGCAGGTAATCCGAGCTCAGTGGAGCGCACGGTAATGGCTCCCCTGAGGAGAGCTGGTGCAGGGGAAAGCGAGGCGGGCTCGCCTGTAATGAATCATTTTTTAAACACAGGAGCAGAGGGGATTAATCACAGGGAGGAAGGATTTGAGAAGTCAAGGGTTCTGTACCAGTGTACGCCCCCCTCATTCTGCGCCAGAATCACAATATTAGAAACAGACATCAACTGCTGAGATGACCTGCCAGGCCAGCGAGGGAGTTAGAAACTGCATAATCACTCACTGGAAGTTCTGTCTCCTAAAGAAAACTCTGTGTTTAGTCTTGTTGAAGTTGAAAGGTTACCAACAATGGTTGACATGTAACTTCATTTATGACTTTATAAACAACTAGTGTCACTTTTATATCTTCAGGCTAAAACATCACATATAAACTTGCAACCTTTTTTCGTATTCCATCCATTTTCTATACTGCCTGTTCCCAATGGGGCTGGTGGGGGGTGCTGAAGCCTCTCCCAGCCGACAACGGGCGAGAGGCGGGGGAAACCCTGGACAGGTCACAGGTCTGTTTGTTTCCCCTGCATATTTCCCTGTAAGTTTTATTCATTGTCTCTCAATTTTTTTTTTCCGAAGACCACTAAATGTGCACATTTTCATGCTTACTGTGTGTATATTATAAGAATATAGAAAAATACCAAATTGTTTCTTGTTTTTTTCATTCCAAATCATCACCAAAAGTGCCATCATAATCCAAAGAGGACTGATCACAGGGTAAGCTGACAAAAAGAGCTGGGATTTAAAAAACTTGCTTTTGAAGTTTCCTTCCTGAGCTCCAATACAGTGAATCTGTTAAATAAAGGTAAGAACTCTATGCTAATTAGCTGTTCTCCATTATTAGAATGGGAGATGGAATGTGGGAACAAAGTAACTGCCTTCTGCATCAGAACATGAAACTGTCCTCAGAACTGACAGATGCTTCTTATTTCAAGACAGACAGTGTTGTCAGAAGTCCCCGTTTGAGGCGCACTTTGTAGATGTGCGCAGGCACTAATTGCCAAGTCACATTTGCAAGAAAGACAGGAGTCAATTTTAAGCCTTTGTGTTGTTTTGTGTCCACATCTATCTGAGGTTTGATGTTCTAAGTCAACAAAATATGTGGTCCATTCTCCCGGGTCTCCTGTGTATAGAACGTTAAGGTTATTTTTCCCAGCACATTATGAAACATACTTACGATGAATCTTAAGGGTGTTTTGTTTTTTTGTGATTGGAGCCATTTTCAAGATATAGCTCCTCTTTTAAACCAGGCTAAAAAAGTATTGTTTCCATGGGATTTGAAAGTGAGACATTTTCAAAGCTCAAACGCTGCATCCCGATGGGAGGGAAGACACACAAAGGAGTGTGAATCAAAATGTATTCAGCACCTTGTTTTGCCAACTCAGTTAGCCAAATCTCAAACAACACAGGCTCCTTCTAACATCACAGAGAAGTCAGCAATGGCATGCTGCAGGAGCACATCAAGGGCGCAGCTGAGAAACAGACTGGGGTGAGAGTGTCTTGCCAGATCCAGACTGTCAGGAGTTCTGTCTGGTGAGTTACCTGCGAGATGAAGGCATTGTGTGGCACTTCATTTCCTGGCTATGCAAAATTCCAAGTCAGAGGACGGCAAGCAGCCGGTGCTCCTTATAAAAACCTGACAGCTCTTCTCAGTTCTGAGATGTAAATGCAAATGACATATCAGCCGTGGATAATATGTAATCACATATGGCACCCAGTGAGACGACTGGGGCTCGCGAATATATTAATTGAGTCCACCGCGCTGAAGTGACTGAGGCCACATCAGACTTCCTCTGCTGACACCACAGTCACACACGTCGGGAGCTCTCTGACGACACTCGACCAATCACCCGCTTCAGTGTCACAGAGCCTCAATCAAACACACAAAATTGCTAATAATGGACGAGGCTACAGCAATGTGGCTGAGAACAGATGCGAGCCTCTCTTCACTCAGGCACCAGAAACACCGTGGACGGAGCTACACTGAGGAATAATTGGGCCAGGGCTGTTTTAAAGGCAAGAGTCCATTAATAATCAAACAAGCCAGAGGATATATTCCCACAGCACTTGGGAATTCTGGGACAGCAAATAACGCAGGCATCTACGGGGAATTCCATCCCTATCTGTATGTAAAAATTGACCCTTACCTTTTGAACATCAGACGGTGCCCTCCTGAGGAAATCCAGTATTTCATTATTGTCAATCGTATATGGGTTGCGCAGCTTCTTGGTAAATTTGTTAATGCCTGTAAAACAAGAACACATAAATAAATAAAGTGTCACACACCGGGCAGTAAAGTTTCATTGGGATTTACAGTGTCAAAGACAACGCTGATAAAAACTTGGTTTACCCAATCCATATCTAGTCTAGACCTCCCACCAGTGGATCAGAAGCCAAATCACAGCCACATTTCTGTGGGCCTGGGATGTACCATGGAAAAAGTAAGAATAAAACAATGCTTCACTGCTGTATTTATTTTTTAAGAAGACTTGGGTAGTAATGACAACTTTTGCTCATTTTTTTTTCTTCAACCTCGTGAATTTGTGCGTCTATATTTACTTTTCACATGGCTGAATACCACAGAGAAGAATTTCTCTGGGGTCCTGTAATGGGACCATTATATTCAAAGTTTGGTTCTGCTTGTACCTCAGCATGCAGACAAAGAACCTAAGGACTTAAATATGTGCAAAACAACTTGAAAGGCTTGCCTTGCAACCACAGAGATGGAGGTTAACTGGGGAGGCAGAGGAGTATCTCAGACTGTGCTTTTTGTTTGATACGGTGGTTTTTTGGTATTGATCGTGTTGAAGGCAGTGTGGAAGTACTGTGGTTGTGGGCTTACAGCTGGAGGTGGAGAGTCTGTTAAGGGCAGCATATCTCCCTGACCACAAAGACAACGGTCTGTTCTGTATGACTGCAGCAGATAATGAGAGGCTAGACCAGGAGCCTACAGACTGCCCAAGGACATCATGTATTATATACAGCCTGCTCCTCCAGCTCTGCTTTGTTTTCTGACGAACTGCTAGGCTCTGCTGGATCAGCCCACACTGGGCCGAGCAAACCTCTGTAACAGTCTGATCTCTGTGTATCTGCAGAGGTGTAGAGATGGCAGAGTTCTTAATTCCCTCTACTTTATCAAAACCACAGATTTACTTCAGTTAGGAAGACTGGATAAGTTTTATCTGCTGTGTTTCACAACTGGATGTATAAGGGCTGTTTTTAAAACTACTCGTGGGATGGTTTTGGGACAGACTGTAGACTCAATCAAGGAAGAGAATGTGGGAGTCAATTGCTGTTGTTTTTCACCCAGAGCCATTTCAGATATACCCAAAATATTTTTAATTCAAATTTCCCAAATTAATCGCTTATGATTCTTACCCCATATCAGCACGATGTATCGTAGTGGAACAAAGTATAAGAGCGCCGCTGCACCAAACAGCACCAACCCGGCCAAAATTGACAAAAAGGGGACAGACCAGTTGAATATGCTGTGAAGAAATAAATGTCAGGTTAGGATACAAACCACACACATTCAGTACTGAATAAAGTTTTTTGTGCAAGCTGAACATGATAAATACTTCTTAATTCGCTCTCCGATGTTTGCGAGCTCATCCAACACAGTCTGAACAACCAGCACCACTTCTTGCACCATGTGTATTTTATCCATCAAACCCTTTTTTCCGGATTCCTAAAAGGAAGAAAAAAATTCAGACGCTGATGAGGTGCACCGTATGTCAATTGTTGGGCAGTGTAGACAAAGAGCAGTTTATCTCTGCCGTGCTATTATGTATGATTTATCTATTGAATAGCCCATAATGAGCAAACACTGTACATCTTCAGACTACGCTTTTGAAGATGAGACAGACTCGGCGCTCAGAAGCTGTTATGTGGAAGGCAGAGAGATTTCATCTTTTGTCAGCAACACACAATGGGGCTGTTGCGCAAGTGCAGCACAATCAAGACTCTCCGGTAGATGAAAAGTACATAAAATGGACATCTGCAATCAGACAGACTAGACGACCTGAAGAAGAAGTGCAGGGGCCTCACAACTTAGGAGAGATTCCATTCCAGTGGCCTGCACAGGACAAGTTTGAACACGTTTTTCCAAATATGTCAGGTTTTCCCGTCTCAGCTAACGTTCTCACTACAGGAGGAACCAGCTCAGCCTGCTCTCAACACGTGTGCTCGTTGATTTCCTTTATTCTTCTCACAGCTACTTCATCTTAAAGTACAGATTGCTTTTAAAGCACAAGGGGTAAAAAAAAAAAATTGCAAAACAATCAGTCAGCCTGCGATAGGGTTGGACTCTTTTTCTCAATATTAAATAGATTTGAGCACATCAGGTAAGGAATAACATCTATGAAGCCTTTCAGGGAACAGGAGTGAGATACATATAACATGAATAACACAAGCTAAAGAGAGCTGAGAAGCTTTTACATCAAAAGGAGGAAATAATGATGGGAATGATGACAGGGAGAGGAAGAGTGAGAGGGGGAATGAAAGTGTTGGGGGAGGGCACCCTAATGGACCCTAACAGAAGGCTCGAGGAAGCCTATATGTTTGTGTTACAAGTCAGCTGAAGCCGCAGCCTGTGTGCACTGACAGGGCCCAGACAGAATGCCTTTATCAGACCCTCATGAGGCCGCCCCTGGGAACACACTGTCTGCCAGCACAGAGAGACTCCCCACTGCTGGGCCCACTCTCCTCCACCAAAGACGCAGGAAGAGAGCAATTCCCACACTAGTGGAGCCTCCCCCACTGGGCTCTGATCTGGACACACACTGAAGCCTCGGCACTGTCCAAAAAAGGAAAAACTATCGCAAATATGTTTTCGTCAAGATTAACATCTCAGGGTCTCATCATGGTGAAAGAGGACTATCTATGTTTACGCATCATCACACTCCATTTAGCTGGATCACTCAGCAGACCAGAGCTGTACGCTGTGTATTCTTTACTTCACTACACTTTGTCAGGTGTTAATTGAGATCTTTCTTTTGTATCAAGTCTTTTGATAGGGAACTTCAGAATTCCTTTGCATATTCTCATTTAAATGTATTCGAAGAGCTCAAATAAATGATTTCTAATCCAAATGTGTGAAGGGATAAAAAAAAGAAGTGAAATGGATACACATACAAGGTAAATCTAGCCTGAACTGCTTTGGCAAGAGGAATAGCGACTCGCTTTCATTTCTAAGAGGAAAAACAGACAAATAGATGTATTCTGAAGTATGCACCAAGAGGCAGAGCTCTCATGATTATAGTTACTCGTCTGCTTCAAGATTCCTGATCTCCTCTATTGCCTTAGTGCCCAAAACTGGAGACTTTCCTACATTAATCATGTGATGATGTTCTTTGTTCCTTACTCTTTTCAGCATGTACAGGAGTGCAGAGCAAATAAGAACGAAATAAAATAGCTCCCTCTTAAATGAAAAAGTATGGGTAAACTGGGGATGGACTAAATGAGTCCAAAATTTCTACTGATTAGAAAACCTGGGTGAAATCAGATTCTCATTTCAGACAAAATTGCAAAAGCTTCCTTTTAAGGTGGAGTAATGGAGAACCAATTTGATCTCCCGCAGAAAGGTAAACACACTCTCACAGACATGCGTGCTGCTATCAAAGCCTGGAAATAAAAGCTCATTTAGCATAATTTTAATTAGAATGAACTGTGCCAAATCTGAGTGCTCAGAAGGAATATTTATCTTGTGACTTTTTAGAGAAAAAAAAAAAAAATCAAAGTTTGCCTAAATGAAAAACATCTGTGTTCCAGGCAGCTTATCACATGTGAAACTAAACTAGTAAACACTTTTTTCTGGGGTGAAGCTCAAACGTGTTGTTTGGCCTCACACTGCAGACCACAGATCATGACACGGGCAGCATGTCTCACTGGGGTGCTCAAGGAGACCCCACGGCATCTGAGGGCTGTCGGGTGAAAAATGGAGTAACCCAGAAGCCTAGTCTGGCACACACACACCCCACACCCCCCAACCTCTTCCTAACCATCCCCCCAAAAAGTCCCATGGGTTGTGTTCTGTGAGCAAGTCAACACCGGACCAGCGCTGCCAGCCAGGGGGCAAGAGAGGGGCCGTTTCATCCTCCTTGTTCATTTCTGTTGGATCTGTGGACTTGTTTTGCCTCTCTGTTTCTTCATGTTATGATTAAATATTGTCTATCTGCTCAATTGATACCTAAGGCCAAGGGGAAGTCACTTTGCCCACACATAATTTGTAAGCTGTCTCCTTCCCTGAGGACAGATTTGTTCACAGGCAGAGAATCTGTTCTGTATTATCCTGCTGTAACACCGCCTTGCCTTTCGTCTCCCTTTAACGTCATGCCTTCACATTCTCACTGCTCCGTCTGAGGTTTACATATTTCCTTCCTCGGGGGGGAAAAGGGGGGGGGGGCTAAGAACATATTTGAGTGGTAATCATAACCTTCTCAGAGGGAAAAAGCTTTATTCACATGTTAGAAGAGAAACTATGGCAGAGAAGCAAGGCTTTGAAGTCATCAAATTTAACACTGATCACTCTTTAACCCCAAATATTTTTAAAGAAGACTTTGATAGGGTGTGCAAAGCTACACTGTTTGATCTAACGGCGTGATATCACATTCAAGTGACAGCAAGACCATAACAAGACTTTCAAATAAGCCACTTTAAATTAAAGCTGACAGCTTAAAACAAACATGGGCGAGTGCTTAATTAGTAAATGAAAGGAGATATTTCATTTCCTGTGAGTGTGAAAGGGCTTAGAAGGCTCATGGAAAACCTTTCAAAAAGCTTTAAGAGGCGAAGGCTGAGTTTGCAAACATGTGGCCCAGAGAGGCAAAGAAAACTGCCATTTCTAAAATTTACAAAAGGAAACATTATTCTGCTGTGTGTTGAAATTTCAAGGTAAAGAGAAATTAAGCATTTCTATTGGCAGCTACGATAATGAATGAACCCTATTAAATGAATCCCCCTCTTTTTAACATGCATAAATGCACTTTTTTTGTCACTGCTGTTTGTTTATGCACGTTTTCTTCACAGAGCTGGTAGAAAGTGTGGCTTTCCATTTTGCCGACATATCATGCAAGTTTCATCTGCAGAGCAGCCCATCCTTTCAGACTGGATTTGGTGGATGTGCATGTGTTTTTAAAAGAAGCCGGCTCTTCAGTAGCCCCTGGTCATCGCAACAGAATATATTGAGCGCATTATGGATATGAATCCCGGGCCTAGACACGCAGCACCAGGGTCATTGCTGGGAGGCTTTGCGTTAGTTCCACACTTCATTGCCATAAAGCAATAATACGCATCACTGTTAACTTTTTCTTTTTTACAAAAAACAGTGGGATGAGTGTAATTGAATGTTGTGTGCTGTGGGAAGTATAATTTTCTGGCTGCTTAAAGATCTCCCATTGTTTTATTTCTCAAGATACACTAGAGAGGAGTAATAAAGAACATTATCATCATCAACACTGTCAAAATGACTGATGACTTTAGGGGCAGAGCATCGGCCACTGTTTTCTTGATGTGCCTGAAAGTAAAGTACTTTTTTATTTATTTTTATTTCTGTAAGTATTTAAGTTAAGCTGACAAAAACGGCTACTTATTTAGTACTCAGCAAACATTTAAAATGTGAAGTGATACTGAAAACAGCAAAACAACACAAACTACATCACAGCAGTTTCAAAGATGCTGCCCTCATTTGAAATGCTTAAAAATACATTTTGTCCATCCTTTTTACTTTATATAAATACTCATTAAATGTATGTAGCTTTTCCCTTGGTAGAATATTTGTTCATATAAGGTTCATATAAGCTGTCGAACCCTCAGAACCATGTTTGCACTCATGGCCTTAGTAATAGGTCCAAACAGATTTTACTAATTCATAACACAGTGAGAAGTTAAATAACCCAGTTTTTGTATAAACACATTAATTGTAAAATATGAAGGGGTGACAACATTGTAGCAAAACTTATTATCCGGTGTTCAAAAGAGACAAGATAAAATACCTTCTCGTCTTCTTCTTCGTCATCGCCCATGGTCATGTTCACCTATGAGAAAATAAAGGGTAGGGGGTGATTTCCAACGAATGGGACATGTGGGCACTGGAGCATTTTTAACAAACACCTAGTAATGAAATTTTCTTTGAGCTCATTCACCCCTATTGGGAGAGACTTGTTTCCATAGAGACTGCATCACGGGGGTGACCTCACACAAAAGAAGAGGTGAGAAAGGGCCTTCCTCGCAATACTACTGTCACACCAAAGCAATCTCTATTCCCCACAACATAAGCACTCAGAAAAACAGAAAGAAAAAAGAAAAAAAAGAAAAAACACATTTAATTTGGATGTTGTTGCCTAGATCACTTTAAATCAACTCATCTCCCACCCCGCTGTGGCACATGCTGTGACATTGCCTGGGTGCAGAGCTGTGTCATTGCCGGCCACAGGGTCAGGGGGGGGGGTTACAGAGGCTCTACGCTGGATATAAGGGTGAGCCTGGACTTTACCACTGCCAAGAGATGGCATCTCAGCCAGCAGCCATAGACACGACTGAGCCGGGGATTTTGCTTTGGGGAGGGCGTGCGAGCGGGCCTGGCCTATGGCCGCTCAGTGAGAAGGCTTGCGAGGCAGTGAAATTGGGGGCCAGTCAGAAGTGTGAACAGCATTAACCTTCAAAGACATGCATAGGGCAAGCATACATTCCAAAACACAACAGAGAGAAGATGGTGCCATGATCCACGACGAACTACAGTCCTACACTAACAGATGGGATTAAACTATCAACAGAAATAGATTTTTCAGACCAGACCAGTTCAAAATGAGTCTTTCAAGTATTAAAAAAAGACAATACACTCATTAGTGCTTTAAATATTGACTCATTTTACTCTGGGATCTGTAATGTGTGTATATTTTTACAGGAAACCTCAGATGAGTCCTGGTCACTCACCAAGTCCTGGTTGGAGCTGGCCTTTCCTGTAGTGATCTGGACATAGTTCCAGATGATCAGTAGAAGCAGGAAGAGGGGCAGCATGAAGAGATCCCAGTTCCACACTGTCAGAAGGAAGATCTGTAGAGACAGAACATGAAACATCTCATCATACCCAGCTCTCCAGTCTCACGACACCCATTCTGAAAACAAAACCATTCCCACCCTGTCCCAGATGTCGTGTGCAGCATAACATTATTACAAAGCCTCTGAGATTTATAGCCAGTGGGAACAGATATTACTCAAGGTGGTTTGAAAGTAATGGACATTAAACTTTAAACATGTTGAAATCTTATTTAAAATAACACTGATCTGGCAGAGTGCCTTACTCTTGAGTGGAACGTTTGACAGGGATAGACGTTATGTGCTCTCTTTTAACGTGTACATCAAATCCTCTTAGATTGGGCAGCAGTTCTCTTTGACGAAGCACATATGGCAGCTAGAGAAGCATTTGCAACATTTAGACCCTCCATGGCAAGGATACTGAGAAAAGTCGAGACCCCTGGTAGAAATAAGATGGATCACACTGAATGAGTAATCCCACATAATTTTGCAAAGGAGTGGTGCTAAGCACGTTGCACGACACCCACCGCATTTCACAGCAGAGCACTAATTGGACGACTGCATTTAAACCCATTTAGTGACAGCCTAATGAGTCTTTCTCCAACTCAAATAATCAGTAATGTGTGACGAGGATCACGCCGGAGAGTTGACAGGGATGAAATAGAAATGTCCCCCAAAGCAAGCCAAATCTCGCAATCCATTATGGTGTGAATAAGTACCAATACTCCCCAGCATATGGTCCACTTTCTTTTACCACAGTTCTCTGTCTCAATTTTCTTTCTTTCAACCTATGTACATTTTCTCTAATTAACGCAATATTTGCAACAGTTATATTCATTTAACTTTCCTGAAAAGTTCATTTCTAACAGGCCCGTATTGCTATTTTGCACTGACACCACTGCAGCACTGCACAGTCTAAACGCGGAAGAGCTTGAGGCTGCTAGGAGTTAGAACAATATGCTCAGTTTAGGTCTGAGACAGAATGTGAAGCTCCGAGGCCTTCGGGCCCCGATAGCATGCCGGTAAATAGCAGCCTGCTCCTGTCATAGCAACAATGCAGAGTCCGTGCGTGTTGCTTTGGGGGGTAGTCTACCTACTGCCACACCAGGACTAGGTTCAAACAGCCACCAGGGAAATGTGCAGAATGAGTAATACAGACAACAGCGTGGCACAGTGCCCAGGGCTTCACCGCTACACTGCCTATGATCCCTGAGTACAACCTGAAAAAGGGTGGGTAATCTTAAGCGTTGAACAGAAACACAGTGGGATGACCAAGATGCGATGAAACAAACAACAGGAAACAATATGTTATCCTTACTAAGAGCTCATTAGAATTACGTATACACCGACAAACTCGCTGGCGCGCAAGAAAAAAGGTAAACAATGAATATGCATGATGTGCAGAGATAGCAGCAGTACATCTCCTTACTGTTATGAATAACTTACGTCATATGTTGTCACCTCAGTTCCCATGAGGCAATTCTAAAGCAACTCTCCCCTCACCCCGGAGGAATTCTGCTGGCTCGCGGACAGGTAGCTTGTCATATTTTGAGTATTTTCATTAAAAAAAGGAAAAAGTATGGGAGGGAAATGTGCCTGGATGCTGACATGAGCCCAGCAGGAATGTTGAACCTCCTTGCCCTCCCTGCAAAAGCTGCTACATTAACCACTAAAGTCTAATTGCTTGGTCTGTCTCTTCCTGTGCAAGTCAACAGAGGGAGCCAATTCATTTCCGCCCAGGGAGCCAGCAGAGAGAATCTGTCACAGGTATTCATAATCGCCCACTAATGCAAATTTCTGCTCACCGCGTTCTGGCTCAGTGGACAAGATAAAAGCCTTCAGAAATACAATGCCTTGTGTCTAAACTGAAAGCCTAAATGAGGGTATAAACCAAAACTGTCAGAAATATCTTCCAATTTCTCCCTTATGGTATGTCAACCCATGTGTTTGGGATTTACATCCTTTTCTTCTATGAAAAAAAAAATGGGGAGAAACATCTGGGGGAAACCTGAGATTCCTTTATACTGATGAATCTTTGCTGTTAGATATCCAACAGTAATGAGAAGAAGTAGGAATACATTTTCTTTTGTCGCATATATTCTGATATTTTCTGTGAATGTGAGACAGCTAATTCCTCACGAGGTTTATTTTTTCATGTAAGCGGCAGTGTGATTACAGAACATGTTAGACGAACTACAACCTTTCAGTGGAAATTTGTATAAAACATAAATGTCATCAAAAATGGGCTGTACAACAGGGTCTGAAAGGAAGTGTTTTTTTTGTTGTTTTTTTACTTTTAAATTATGGTTTACACATCAAGTAAAACCTTGACCTTTCTCCACATCAAAATGAAAATGTGTCGTCCAGTCATGTATTTAACCTAAAATGACAGCAAATCAACAGCAAACCAAAGTAAGTGAGGAAAATATTCATGATATTTTTGGTTTGCACACGGCTATATCGGATAACAAGTGACTTGTAAGCGAACAAGTGTTGGTATTTGTGTCTCGGAGAATTGTCTCTAATTCAAGAAACCTTCCCCTTGACAAACACCATTTAGCTGAAAAATGTTTGTATGATTATGCAGAGGGTGCCCAGGGAGAAAAGAAAGAATGAATTAATGAAACTATTAGCGCATGGTGGATACAATGATGGAGATGCACTCTCCTCAGCCACCTGTAAGAGCTCTGAAAAAGGGGGCAACCCTGGGCTGAGCTAGTCTGCCAAGAGGGTTAAGAACAGCCTGACAGATTTGTTTTATGGTGCCATTAATATGATTCCACTAAATGCATTCTGCCTCTTCTCATGCAGATCCCCTGGCCAGCAGAATCCAGCACCTAATAATAAAGCACTCAGCGATTAAAAGTGTGAATAAAATAACTTAAAGCTGAGCAAGCATGGCAGCTCCCACCACCCACATTCTCCCAAGAGGGGGAGAAGGGATCGTGGCAGGAACAAAGGGACAGAGGCACCTTCTATAAAAGTTTTCACTGTTCTGTAAATTGATTAACAGGGGGTGGCCCAACATACCAACATAAACCACTGACTGGCAAATATACTGCCAGACTACAATGCTGCCAAACATTCTCCTTTTACACAACATGCCACAAATATGGGCATCATGGCGGCATGACACAAATGATATAGTTGACGAGCCAAATGAATGTAAAGTCACCATACATGGGGCCGCACAGAATCATTACTGTTTGTGTTTGAAAAAAAAAAAAAACTAGTTCCAATATTTTTTCTAATCCAGTGCGTTTCAAAAATACCCTTATTTTTAAACTATGTACCAACAAAACACATGGAAGATATAATCTTGGCTCTATCTTCACAACTTCTCTTCAGCTGCACTCCACTTGGAAAGCTCAACAAAGCGAGAAGAGTGCCAGCCAGCATTATGAGGGTCAGTCATGGGGGCTGTGGATGGATGCCAGATTACGTGAACATGTACTGAAAGAGTGTAAGACTGACTATAGGCTGCAGGGTTTGTCTTTGTATGTGTGTGGTTGTCTGTGTGTGCATGTGAGACACAGCAAAATAAGAAGAAAGAACATGTAAGTATGTGAAATACATAAATACTAACAAAGTAAATAAATTCTACAATACGCTGATAAAACCTATTTTATATTAAACCATGTTACAAGTAATTTTAAAATGATGTTTTTTTTTTTATTTTGTTTTTTAAAAACACTCTTGCAGGATCTTTTTTTCGTTGCTCAGGCTGAATACAGCCTGGATGATGGAGGGTAGATGCTGAGGACAGGAGCGGCAGGTTTTAAAGTAGCTGTAAATGCAGACCAATGAGACATGTAATTTGTGTTGAGCTCAGGCCAGTGTGGGGACAGGCTTTCAGGGGGTGTCAGAGGCAGAGGAAGCACAGATAAGATTTCTCTCCGGGGCAGGTAGAGTGTGTGGGCAGCCACAGCGCTCTAAGCTAACACTGAATAAATATTTCACATACGCTCAGCTCAAGTCTTATCAACTAGGGAAAGAGAAGAAGAGAGGGTAAAAGAGACGCTTCCGTCGAAGTGGTGAGTATCTCCACTAAGTTAAATCACTTGGGGCAATTATTTAGTGTGATACAACGGATTTTTCAACTGCAAATAAGGTTTTTCTAACTACAAAAACCATATATCTGTATCCAAGGAGGTAATAATAAGACATTTTATAAGTATTTTCAGTCCTCTGGTATTTGCTGAAAAAAAACATTTACTTTTAACTCAGGTCAAACATGTAGGCTATGTATCAAGTTTCAGAGCTATTAACTAAAGGTAATCAAGAGCTAATAGATAAGCAAATGCCAAAGCTTCTGAGTGGTCCCGCACAGTCCGGTGTGATAGTGACCGCTCTTTATCGAAGCGCTAAGGAGGAGCAGCTGCGTGAGGCAAAGCATTAGCATTTGCTCACAGGTCCAGCTCTGGCTGTTGTCTCCCTGCCTGTCTGACACATGAGTAACGCCAGCGCGAGGCTGGAGCGGGGCAGTCGGCGGGGGCCCCGTGGTGCCTGTCAGCAGTGGCTACACTGACCCCGGAGTCCGGCACTGGCCACTAGTGTTTAATCCGTGTCGGGAGCGTTAACACTGAGCAACCTCCTGGGTGACAGATCTGCCATGCGAGCCTTTTTCCCCCGAGGAGATGGGGGAGTTTGTGGGGCTGGGGGGGGGGGGGGTGGGGGGGGGGGGGGGGGGGGGCTCGGGGGGGGGGGGGTGGCATGGACTCTCTCCTGTCAGTTCAGCTCACACACGTTAACGCGTCGGGGCCAGGACCGGCCTTGAAGCAGCCACACACAGAGGTGGACAGGTCGCTGCCTCAGCTGCACGGAGGGAGGTGTCCTCTGTGAGCGGGGAGGTGGTGAGTATGTTAAAGGCAGTCATTATGATACGCCACACACAGCGGGGTCAAACACAGAGCACACTTCACCTAGGCTGAAAACATCTAGAATACAAAACACCGGCCACAGAAGCACCCACTGAATCAACAGGTCGTTCAGGCTTAATTATTGTTGTTTTTAAAGACTTATTATTGTTAATTTTACAATGACAACAATATTGTAAAAGTTTGAAAATCTTTATAAGTATCAAAATGCGTAAGAAGAAGCAAAGATGAAAATAATCTTACGGCCATCATGAAATATTAATGGAAAAATTCTGTTAATTCCACCGACAAAGCAGCATTCCAAGGTTATAACAACGTATTCAGCCCGTCTCAAGAGAAATGGACTTACACACCATTCGAGGGCAGCTAAATAACAATACTGTTTTAAATCAGGAAGCACAGCTGCAGTTTGTACATAGTCACAGACTATCTTAATAATTAATAAATCTCAGACTAAAAACTCCACACACACACACACACAGACGCACACACAGCCATCACTGCCATCATTTTTTTTCCTTCCTACAAGACACATTCCCACTGCAGTCTGTGAGAACTCCCACAGCCATGGAGATGAAGAGTGTAACCCCCATGAGACTGAAGAAACCCACTCCTTTAAGGCCTCCAACTTTTTCAAACAGAGAGAAAACAGATGCAGAGCAGAAACAAGGAGACAATTCACAGGCTTCACAGTCTTCTCGCTGTTCTCACAAAAGCCCGGCCACACTGTAGAGCAGTACACCACAAAAGGGCACAACCAAGACTCACAAAGCATCTCATTTTCAGGGACAGTTTTAACAAGAACAATTATGACAACTCTGATTATGGCCTTGATCTCGGCTGGGCTGGTGTTCCGCTAAATGGCGCAGGCTCCTGCGGCTCTACACAGGTGGTCTTCTTCTGAGCCCTCTGGAGCCAGATCTGACCCTGTCCTGCCCTAATCTGGGGAGACGGTGATTCTATCAGGCCCCGAAAAAGAACCCGTCGCCTCTGCCACGCGTGTTTACAGCTGCACCGTATCAAACATTCATCAAATGCCATATATATAGCATGTGGTGTGAGCCAATCATCATTTCACAGGCTGTCAAATGATGTCTAAAGCAGTTGTTGCCTGGCCGTGTAAAAAAAAAAAGGTTCATATGCTTACAATCAGTGAACAGAGACCTTGATTGATAAGGTTTTTTATACGCTAACACATTCATTCTACTTCTAAATACTTGAAGGTCTTTTGTGACACCAAAGCTCATGATCAGTGTAAATTATCCCTTATCTTCGTCAGCTTTCATCTATTTTATCTGAATCAAAATTGTCTTCATCTTTAAACTAAAAAGGGTAATTATGCTGGCGAATACACCTTTGTTTCGACATAAGACAAACTTATGCCTTCTGGTCTAATGCACAGAATGGAGGATTTCACTCCAAGTTGTTCCCACGAATGGTTCCTGAAGGGAGAAGTAACTGACCTGATCTGCTTTGCGCCACACTACATGTTTCTAACAGTGCTGTAGCTCCATCTACAGGTGGTCGGCTTGTGTGCAGCAAAGAACTCTGGGTGACCCCTCCGCAGTCACTGCTGATGTATAGCACATTCATCTCGCTTAGTCTCAGTGAAAAGCACATCTAAAGGCAGTTATTTTATGAAGAACTTTAGATGTCACATTTTCCTCCCTCTCAGAGAAAGAAGCATGCTGTTGTCAAACTCTTGAGAAGCACAGATCTTCAGCTCATTACTGTAGCATGAAAAAAAAGGTGGAGAAAAAAAATAACAAAATTTGTTTGTATTTCTATTCAATGCTGAAAATGTTTGCCAGAACTTTGCAAAAAGTTTTTTTTTTCTAACACCTTCGTTGGGAAGATTATTTTAGAAGGAAGCATATCAGTTGGAAGTGGAAGACAACTTCAAGCTGTCTGGACAGTGGAGAGGACTTTCCATGATAAAATGGCACCTTGAACTCATAAACAACAATATTGTACAACTCTGCATGTCTCTCCATCCCTAAGGAAAAACACTGAGCCGCACAAAAACAAGCAAAAAAAAAAGGTGCAGCTTTTCTGTTTTCTGTCTCTGCTGCTCATATGGGAATCATTTTGATATTTTCCACCTAAAACCTACACTTAAAATGAACTTTGGCAGTGATCTCTTTTGCAAAATTTGAATACTTCGCACCCTGACAACCACTTCATAATGCAAACAAGATTCTGCATAAACAGCATAGCGATGTACACTGCAAGCTGTGTGGAGGTCAGAAAATTTGCCTGTGGTGCTGAGTGATATAATGGATAAGTATTCCTGGTAGAGCACTACACGAGCATCCCACAGTCCCAGGAAAAAGACCACAGCAGAGGTAATGCATTACAGGATGTATATTTAGTGTAAAAGGGTAGGACTAGTCTGCCTGTATGATAAATAATGTATTGTAATGTATATTATAGCTAGACCCACCACTGCAGCGTTTCCTAGTCCGAGAAGCCCCGTGCTGCCCGCCACTATGGAAAAGAGCAGACACTAGTGGTGTAATTATGCTCATCTGAGAGGCAAGCAGAGGCCATCTGTCAATGTCTGAATCAGTTACCTTATTACCACTGCCTAAAGATATAAAGATAGGAGTGGGAGCTGCTTTCATTAGAGCACATGGTGGCATGCTGCTTTAGACAGCTCCAAACACTAACTTAATTGGAAATGATGACTAGGAGGAGGAGAAGTGACTGCACAGTGGATGCCCTTGGAGTGGGCAGGGGCAGGAGTGCAGATAGTGGCATGGCACTAGGCTTGTAATGACAGTCAGCCGGGACCTTGTAGTGGCCCTCACTGACTATCAAGCTAGCATACATTCTCCTGGAATATTTCCATGTGGTTTCTGCGTGTTTTTAAGCACGTTACGCCATGAGGGTGAAATAAATGATTCCTTTCAAAAACCTTTCTCTTGCTGAACTTTCAGTGAGTTGGTAAATAAGAGATTCATAACAGTGCTAGATTCACTGTGGGCAATCCCCTTTCGGCCCTCAGTTGAAGGTGCTTCTCATCTCAGAGAAGGTTTCCTTCTTTAACTTTACACTTGTAAATATATCCATCTTTCATACTCATAAGACTGAAAATCCCCAATGCAGTAAAAATGATGGACTTAGCACAAGTGAATCGTTTTCCTCCCTTTTTAAAATCTTTACTTGAAGTTTTTACTCGGACTCAGACGCAGGGGTGGAAATGAAAGATTAGAGTGTATCAGCGCGCGCTCCCATCACCTGTGGAGGATCTAATTATAGGTGGAGGAAGAAGGCCCTGTCCTGCTGACCTGTCACCCGTCAGCGCGGCTATCCTCCTGCTCTCCTGCCCGTCAGCTTCCAAGCTTCCTGCTATCTGACCCCCTCTCACCGAACTGTCTTCCTCTTTCTGTGCACCAACTTTCTTTCCCAGATAGTAGCTGGCCTCCCACTATGTCCTTAAACAATTGCCTGCATTGTTCTCCTTGGTCCTGTCTGTGTGCCTGCCTGTCTGTCTGCACACCGCGTTTCTTCTAAAGGGCTATGATACACTGAGCCTGGCCGTTGCCTGGAGGGATTTGCACCTCAGGATCAGTGAGAAGGGCTTATAGAATACACCAGGTATGAATTGCATGTTATCCTGAGACAGGGCAGACAGAAGAAAGGCGGTGAAAGGAGAGTTCTTCACACACCCTGTCTGTGACCGTTTCCTCACCCTGACACGGTGCTGGCAGGTCTTTCATGACAAGTGCACACTCTTAATCATGACATTACATTGCTGTACTGTGGGATATTCACAAGGTCCTTTCAGATTATTTAAGCTTAGGACCTGAGATCACATACCCTCATTAAAAACAGCTAAACAGAGACACTTAAACAAGGTTTAAATCTCAGAAGTAGACTGTCACTACTCCACCCAAGGAAGCTGAGACTGTGATCCTCCTTACACCATCCCCTGGGTTAGGAGGCTTTGCTAAGAAGTCAGATGTACAAACGCCAAAACCCCACCCTTTCAAATGCACTCTAATGTCATCAGAACTGAAAGAAAGCCAAGTGGGGTTTGATTCAAAGGATAAATCACATCCATCACACACTCAAGGGATAAAAACAGAAGGCAGCCATTGTTTTTCATGGGAAAAGGGCGAGCAAAGGGAGAAAATGGCTAAACCACGGATTCTGAGCTGCAGCTCATTCGCACAAAATGAAAACGTTAAGACTAGGCTGCAGTGAAACGGGACAAAACTTATTCGCCCCAAGGCTTAAAGAGAGTTCATTAACGTGAGGCAATGACTTACCAGAAAGGCTATTAGACTCCGTTGCGTGCTCTCCCACTGAAAACAGCTTTTAATGTACTGTAACGTGTACAGAACTGCTGTGCTGATTTTTCGTACCCGATATATATTCCTGGCAAGAACCTAATGGAAAATAATTGCAACACAACACTGCATAGTTACTGTCGTTTGATCCAGGGCATAATGTTTATGACTCTGAAATTAGGTTAAATCAGCTTTACTTGCAACTCATGAGGTTAAAGTCAATTAAACAAATTAGCTCAACTATGACCAATCAAAACTATGACTATGTAAAGATTTTGGTGAGGCAACTTTATGAGGAAGACATGAGGTCTTTGGGCAGGTCGTTTTATGTGTTACTTAATTTGTTTAATGCTTATGAAAACACTGGGAGAGGAAACCTTTTTGTTGAACTTTGGGTTATCCTCGATTAATTTAGCCTCCTTTGGTTGGAAGGTTCTGATACCAGCTCTGACCTGGGGAAAAAAAGAAAAGATCAATGCTGACTTTTGACTTCTCTTTTACTATATGTCAGAATCTCTGCATTGCAATTTGGAATTTGGTCTTTACTTTGTTGTAGATAACCTCCAGCACCAGAGTGATGGTTCCTTTTGAAGAACTCTCCAGGTCCTCCTTCTTTAAGGACAAACACATCAGCTGGCCATTCTTAACCTGTAATACAAAACACAATTTATTTGTACTCATGCTTTAAACCAATTCGTATCTTGCATTCAGAAAATCAGAAATTATTAACAAAACTAATAGAAAAACTCACACTCAGTAAAGGGATGGCCACTTTCCCCAAAAAGTTTGAGGATTTGTCTCCGTTTTCATCAAAGACAGACAACTCTACCACATCATGAATGTCCTTAATAGGGCTTTTAAGAGTGACACAAATGTTATTTACAATCAAACAAAACACAGAATAGGACAAGTGATTTGAAGTGTTCTTACAATGTAAAGGCTTTGTTCCACTCTGGATTGAGGGTCCTAGAGATTGCATCAGTTTGAAGTTTGCAGTTTCCAAGCTCAATAACACACAAAGGGTTGCTCTTACCTGCAAATGGTGGAAATGTGAGCATTGATGGAAGAAAATACTACTACTACGAGTATTGCCATCACAAACTTAAAGATTACCAAGTTCCGTAGCAGAGAGATCATTTGCTTTTAAAACATTGACCTGAAGAAAGCCAATTTCTCTGAAACACTTGTGGGTGTTTGTTACACTCTGAAAGACAAAAAATAGCATGCTAAAAGCACTTGTGTAGAAACAGCAAAGTAACCCATGGTAACTTTTTTGAAAACAAGTCCATCAACATTTTGTAAAATCCATTTTTTACCAAGATTAATGGTTAAAAAACCTACAAATTTCTCCGTGATTGTGTTTCTGTCATTTGGATTTGCCAAGGAGGCATTGTCAATTTCAGACAGGGAGACTCCCCAGCAGGGTCTCGGGGTGACCAGGAACACCAGTTTGCCTTTTCCCGGGTCCAACACATGGGTGTACAGCTGCCTCTTGTCAGGAGGAAGCCTTGACAGATCAACCTCGAACCTGTGATACAAGACGATAATCCCCTCAATCACAAAAAAGCTTAACTAACTCTGACCTGTGCAAAATAATCAATCAGGCCACACTTACATCCCCCATGACTCTTCGCCCTTCCTGCCTCTCTTTGAGAACACCTCCACCTGCAGAGGTTCCTGGATATCTTCAAACTGATTGAAGTCAAACTCCTCTCTCCATTGAGGATTCGCCTGAATGCAAAGGTTCTAGGGGCAATAAGACACAAATTTGGCTCATAAAGTAGCATTGCGACACATAAATAGATGAACTCTTGATGCATTATAGGCCTGAGCAACTTTGTATGACTACGGATATGGATGAAGTCCTTGTTCATCCAGAGCAAAAAGATGTAGGAGAAGAGAAAGAGTGGTGTGTTGTGTTAATGTGCATTCATTTGTGTGTGCTTGCATGTGTGCACCTCAGTCGCCACTCTGGGATTGTAAACACTGACAGCTTCCAATTAGAATCAGCTTTGTTCAACAAACAAACAAGCAGAGAGGAAAGAAGAGTGGCTTACAAAGAAACGACATGGCAACACGAGACAACTGCACCATCGAATCATCAGGGGGAAGTCAACAAGTACAGGTAAATGAACAGGGCATGCTGGGTATGTAAATGAAGGCAATGAAGCCCACCGCCCACAGCACACTGAGTGGCAGCGTTGCTCAGTCTAATGAGCTGCCTCTGCCATGGCCCAGTGAGCCAAGGTGGAGGTGAATCACTGACAGGCACCTGCTGGGAGAGGAGAGCAGAAGTGGGAAGTAGGAGATAGAAGCTGAAAGAAAGTTAAACTCTAAAGACCAGGCACTGAAAAGACAGAGGCACACGACAGAGAGAAGACTCTGTTCCAACCTTGCTCTTGTATTTCTGATCACCAAGGCGAAAGCGGACGTAAATGTCACCCTGGCCATACTGCGGCAGGTCCTGTCCCTCCACCAAGGTGATGTGGAGCACACTGGTCCACACTTTGTTCTTCAGCTGATTCTTCTGTGCGTCAGCAGGGCGGGCGGCCTGGTTCTGCTGCCGGGCAGAGACGGACAGAGACAGTTACGGCTTCTTTTCTATTTTAAAGCACCTTGAACGGAGGCTTTATGCTCTCGCCTCCTTCTTACCTGCTCCTGCCTTAGCCTAACACCTCATCATGTTCACATATTGCATGAAAGTAGGACAAAGGTTTACACTATAGAGGGTAACGCTGTTGGAGCACATTAGCACATCTCTACTGACAGGCGAGCCACACCATGGAGGCTCCTGGAAAGAGAGGGACGTCAGTGAGCAGCCAGATGTCCCTGGCTGTGACAGTCCCACTCATCACTGGCTCCCAGACAGAGTGTGGGGAGGCAGGACACTTGGCATACTGCACCAGAGACAGCAGGCAGCAGTGAGTAATGATGCAAACTGCACAGCTCTCTCATCAGCAAATTATGCATACATGCAGTATGTATGGCCAGCACAAGAGTTTGCTTCATGTTGGTGATTTCATCCGCCGGTATTTCAGCCATCGAAATGAGATTTTATTTGCAAATCGATGTAGATACTCTGCTTTGAAGAACTCTAAGACAGCCCTGGAAAAAAAAAAAAAAAAAAAAACCCTTCTCCTGCCGTGTGCCACAGAGGGAGTGAGAGGAGGAAAGGCCTTGATATGTTTCCATGTCTGAGTTCCCATGAGGCCATGCGGTGATAGGCCAGGGCTGTAAAAACAAACAGCACAGAGGTTGTGTAGGGCTGACTGTAATTAAAGAGCAGGAGCGTAATCTGCTCTAGCCTCTTTGATTGCCCGGCTCCTTGGGCTGCCCGGGCGACGCGGCTTCAAACGGCCTCAGTGAAACTCCCCTGCTACTCCGGCCCCTCCTCATCACTACAGGGTCACAACCCACATTGCCACCCAATCCGGAGGGGATCAAAGCACATCTCAGGGACCTGAATTAACATGGAATACCACAGGCGCAGCCCTATAAATATCAGCTCCTTCAAAAGAAGAGGAACAGAGGGAGTAGAGGAGCGATATAAAACAGGCCTCAGCCAAGTCATCCCAAGTGTTTATCTTGGACACATTTCTATCTCAGCGGCCAATAAAACAATTCCACTTAACTGTAAGTGGCCCCTAAAGAGAATCTATTCCTGGTCCTAAAAGGGCTGTGCGATTGCTTCCATATGGTGGGACAGCATGGGGACAAGCACGATGAGCTCAGACCCAGGTCCATTTGGCTAGTACCTCAGCATTGTCCATCCACAGCTGTGATATTACATCCTAACATCTGGGTTATTGCCCGCTACGCCTGGGAATTATCAGCCTTGCCATCTTAGGCATCCCACACTGGCAGCATGCCTCGAACAGCCGAGCCCCCCTTCCGTTTCTCCCATACGCCCCCTCCTGTTTGAAACACTATCACACAGCAGAGTTTTTACTCAGGCACTTGCCATTGCCGGTCTCTGTGGTGGCATCACAGAGGGAGAAAACGATGTTCCGACTGAGGGGGGGGGTAGAGCTGTAAGAGCTGGGTATTCAGCACTCGCAGGATAGGTGTTAAACGCAATAAGATATAGTACGTTTGTCAAAAATTAAATGGGAAGAAAATTGCATTGTTACATTGTTAAATTAGCACTGTGATTTAGGAGGCAGAACATTGTGTTTAGTCCCCACCACACACTTCTGTCTCCCTTGGAGTATCTTTAACCATCTGTAGTGGATAACCTACAATGTGTATGAAAATGGCATTCATTCCTTTGTCATCTAATTTCAAATTGAGATTGTCTTCGGGACCATCAAGAGACTGAACAGTGGCAGATGTAGTGACAGCATAGGTGTGAATAGAAACCCATTCTCTGCAGTGTGAGTCCCAAACAACAACCCTCCAATTTCACTGTGAATCTAATTACAGCTGCGATATATTGAAAACCACTCGAGAAGAAATAGAACTTTGCTTACTAAAAAAACAGATACTGTGCTATAATATCCACCTAAGTGTTCATTTGTGAAAGATAGTGTGCATGCAGGCAATACATATCCACACAAACACGTATATATATCTACATATAGGCATTTATATATGTATATTAATATATATGTATATATGTGTATATATATGTCCTTTTTAATCAATGTGAATTTACTTTTAAACAAATAAAACAAAAATATTATCCCTGCTATAAATTTGCAGATTGCACAGGAAGTGTTCGACACAAAAGCCGGTTTCTACCCCTCGTCTTTGTTGAAACATAGCACAGTGAGCTACTGCCCCCTAGTGCTTCAGGTCAGTTCAAGCACAAGAACAATTTCCAATAAAGGAAAATAAATCAAAGAACTAATAATGATGGCATTCTGAATGCAATATATGAATTTCATTTAAAAGTTATATAAGAATCCATACCTTATTCTTTTTTGGACGAAATCGCTGTAAAATAATACAGGAAAGCACGAATTAATTCTCAAGTTTTGAATTTTTTACCTCATCACCAACATCCATAATGTGAAATATTCTTACGTAGCCTCTTTTGATGGTGGCATCTCTGAACATCAAGCAGACATCAACAATGATAACTCCCATGTCGTTTTCTTTGCTTTTTGGATCAACGAGGCTCAACTCCATCTCATAAGTTCTGTGGGGAAGAAAAAAAGGGCAGGGAGCTTAACAACGTTGATCACTAATCCACACGTTCATGACAGTCTATTCTATCAAATTTACAAAAATGTTTCTTATGTTTTTCTAAAACTCACTTGTGTAATTCAAGGTTTTTCAAAGAAATGGTACTGGAACCCATGAAGTCGTCTGCGGTTCGATTTTTATCATAGACCTGCAACAATATCAAAAACACTCAGCACATGTCACATAACGAAGCATTGGGCACAAGGCCACTACGGTAAAATGATTAATTTGTATTTAAAAGAAAGCACGCTTGCCCGAACTTCCACAACATGCTCCCTGTCTCGGAGGGGATGAGTGAAGGACTCGTTCCATTGAGGATTTAAATTCTTATAAACCACCTTGCTCTTGTAGAACTGTTTTCCTTCCAATTTGAACTTCACATATGGATCGCTCGTCCCTGAAATGAGACATGAAAGAGATAAATATATTCAATTATGTAGTGTTACAGAACTGGTCATTATCTCCAGGGTGAAATTAATCCACAACCTCTGGGATATGTTGACAAGTTACAGTGAATATAAAAACCATGTTACCATTTTGGACACATTGGGACACATTTCAACGTGAAATGTACAGTGCGAATGAAACCACACACCATTTTGTACAAACATGCAAACCTTTCCGCCGTGCTGATTGTGTGAGAGGGGGAGGAGGAGGATGAGGAGCACCCCACACATGGCAAAAACAGCAATGTAGCTGTTTAATTGTGAAAGAGTCGAAACACTGGCCAGCATGAGGCAACCAGAAACCAAAATCTAGAAGCAACCAGTGTTAATCTCCCAAGCCTGTTAAAAAAGTCTGTATGTGAGTGTGGTGGGGGTATGGGATTTCTTTGTTTCTGCAATTGCACACAGATTGGCCAAAAAATGAAAGCCAGCCCCATGCCTTCATTTGTATAGGGGAATAAAGGGGTGCTTGAGAAAGCCTGCAGGGAGGCTTGAATCACATGACAAAGGCCCTGTGGGGATGGGCTGTCAGACCTGTCAGCTCCCCACTCCAAATGAACATCTCGCAAAGGCAGGCAGGACCCACAGCAGCTCCACCCTGCCAGCCTGTGACAGGGAAACCTCCAGGCAACTTGACAGGAGGAGAATGTGGCAGCTAGTGAGGAGAAAAGCTCTGGCATGACTGAGAATGGTGACGATGGAAATTAATGGGAAAAGAGGAGAGAACAAAAAACCAAGGAGCGGTGGGCTGGTGGTGTGGTCCTTTCAGAATATGTAATGACAGTGTATGCTATTGGTGGGCCTTTGGCACTGTGTTGATTGTTGGGCAAACACTGGAGAGACTGGGGGCGTGTGTGGGCATTGCATCATCATGGTGCCATCTTGTCAGGGAAAGTAAGGTCTCAACTAGCAGAGGGCACCATGCCTGAATTCTCCTCGACCACCAGGCAGGAAAAAAAAAACAACTGCCAAATTCAAAGATGTCTTTAGGTGATTCCAAAGCTAAATTAGCTTTAAAGTAGCCATAGTGTTTGAAGTGGAAAGTTAAATAGGCTTAATGCTGCCACATTACAATTTTCCCTTTAAATGCAAACACACTTTTTTTTCAAGAGTCATTTTGAGCTCTTAAAAAAAAAAAAAAACTTGAAGAAAACACAAGAGTGGAAATTTTCCAATACACTGATGAGTAGAGTGTCAAAGCAAACATACAGAAACTCTCCTCCCATTTGTGATTCCAGTTTTTGACACTTGAGGTTGCTGCTCTCACACTGCAAACAAACCCCTACATCTGGTGCTCCTGTACATTTCATATGTTTATCCCGTCTTTCTCCCTCACAATTAGTTCAGTTGCTTGTAGGAAACAAGTTTTTAAAAGTTTAGCTTTAAAAGCAAAAAAAAGGAGAAAGTGTGCAGTTGAAAATATTGCGCCAGGATGGACAAATGACAAATATAAACAATCCTACATAACATATTAAAAAGTTAACAAATTTTCAATATGAACATTTTATATTTCTGATCATTTTCTTTTAGTTTACTATCTTTAAAGGAGTGGTTTTATGCACAGGATGTGTCTTTGTGTTTTTTAGGTGGAGGTTTAGCTTCATCACAGCCAGCCTTTTGTCATACTGGTCGAACTACATACTTTTTTAGATAGGCAGACACTTTATTAGTCCCGCTGAGGGAAATTCAGTTTCAGTGCAACTCGTCCGAGCCTGGAGGACGTCAGGCAGCAGCCACTGGTGGCACACCTTTTCATGACGTCACGCTCAAGTTTTAAAAACACACCTATTTTCTATTGTTTTGCATTCACACATTTTCTCTGTTGTAACTTTCCATTGTTTTGTGTCTCAGATTTAGAGCAGGATTGATGACTTTTATACTCACTTTTACAAACAGCTGACTCATCTCTAAGCAAAAGGGAAAAGTCAGGAAGAATGTGGGCCCACTGCATGGCGCTCACTCACCAGAACGTTTGTCTCTGATAACCAGGTTTCTTCCTTGTTTTAGGTTGATGCTCAGGAGATACCTCTGAAACGGGCCAGGTGTTTGGACCTCACAGTCTGGATTCAGACCGTCCTGTGGAGAACCATTCTCACTAACAGGCTCTTTCACATCAGCTGCTTGGCTTACTTCAAAGGGCACACCAATTCATTGAGTACTTACGGAGCTTCCAAGGTCTATACTTTCATCAAAGAAATCACCCGTTTCAGCAATCATCTACAGAGAAAAGGATTGTAATGGCATTTTATGAACGATAATTACAGAATGATGCTGCCAAAACTGAGGCCGAATAGCTCCCGTGGACACATGCAGTGATATTTATCTAAATCAATGGACTAACAAAAATAGTCTGCATGTGTATTCCAACTAATGCTGCGCATGCAGGCAGCTCATTTCAGCGGCTCTGTGCCAATTCTGTGTTATTCCTTAATTCTAACTCTCTCCTAGCTGTTTCTGATCTGGTCTGGTTTGTGGTCTGGTCCAATCTATTGACCTCAAATAAACCTTTTTGTGTACAAAGCAGGTAAACAGCATGAGAAATGCCAACAGCAGTTAAAAGTATTCATTATGTAAAGCTGCTGATTGTGGCACAAACTTGTGTTACAGGTTTTACAAATGGTTGCCATGCTGTATCTTAGAGACATCTACAGCAAAGAGGATGTGACAGCCGGTGGCATTCCTGAGTCAAATTGCAGGTAGCCACAACACTGAACTCTAACTTCATTCTGATAAGGTCATGTGGCCCCAGTTACTGTTACAAACAGTACGATGAGTGTTGTGTAATTGTAATAACACATTAAACAACAACAGAAAGAAATCATTCATGCAAATTTTCTGCATGCCACCGTCATGCCGCCAGACTCTTGGAGGGGAAAAAAGCAACCAGTCAATTTGAAAGGTAAATGCGAGGATGCAAATCTTGGAGTGAATGAAACCTGTGTTGTTCTAAATGGCCATGCATAGAAACTGATGTGTATCTACACCTCATCTAACAACAGGCATACTCCATCCAGACATGCAACAAAACATCTAAAAACACTGACCTCCTCCAGAGATTCATTTGGCTCGTCCAGCTCTATAAGACCTTCCTCCATGGAGAACTCTCTCATCAGAGAAGGGGTGCAGGGCTCCTGGTCATCTTCCCATTCTGCTGACCAAGGCACATTGACTTGCTCCTCACTGGGAAAGCCGAAAGCAGAGTCTGGAGAGGCTCTATCAGCCCTCTCCAAAGGCGCATCTAAAAGTGCCATCCTATCCACAGAGACATTATCCCTATTTGCTGATGGGGTACCAATTTCAAATGACACAGCTCTCCTATCTGTGTGAGGGTTCATTTCATCGCCCGCAAAGTTTGTTCTGCGCAGGGCGGCAACGAGATTGTCTGAAGACATTTTGTCAACACTGGACAGACTCACTCTGTCTTCCTGGTCTGGTCTGTGCAAGTTGGTGAAAACATTTCTGGGTGCAGGAATAGGCTCAAAAGAAAATGCTTGTCTCCTTGCTCTTCTTTCCCAATGTGTATAAATGGCTTCTTTGGGGCTTGAGTTCATTTTGCTCTCTGGGCCTGAGAATAGCATGTTACTCGTTTCTTCGTGAAGGCTCGAGGTCTCAATGGGTGTATCCGTTCTATTCGAACCTGCACTTGGGGTTTTTCTCGGAGGAACTCTGAGCACGATGTCAGTGTCTGCTTCATTTAGTTTATCCATGAAAACTGGCCCATCTATTGTTGAGCCACTAGCAATGGAATCAGTGTCACTAAGACCAGGGGAGATTGTAAAGAGGGAGGATTCAGAGGCAATCAACGACAAATCTGGTACAGAAATACTGCGCCGATGGGCCAGGTTCCTCCCTTGCTTGGCAAGTGGCTTCTTACGAGGCTTCTTCATGTTGGGTAACTTGGTTTTTAGACGCAGGTTCTCTAATATGTTCATTTTCTTGGTTTCCATCTTGACTGACACCTGACAAATGAAAAACAGCCATGTGGCAGAAAAGTTTTGTTCATTAAAGGTACAAACATAGATATTTACATAAAACTGCGAAACGTACTAGCTATTTGTGCTTTAAATGAATATTTCCCAAATGGCACTTTGACCTGAACTAGACTTCAGGCTTAAAATGAACAGTAATACCGGATACTATGTCTTTTCTTCTGGTGAGAAAAAGGACTTGATAGTTAGCCCTTCTGCCAAATCTCTCATAAAAAGACAAATTTTCCTCCTCAGAAACAACAAAGGTGACCAGCCTTATCACCGGCAAAATTCAGTATTAACTTCAGTGCCAAATTCAAACATCTTTTCAAGGGAGATAAAGCCAAAGAGAATGTACCTGCTCGATCTGCGTCTGCTGACCTGCTTGACAAAGCTTCAGAATGATTTATTTTCCAACTAGTCCGACAGAGAATTTTCCAGCCGTCAGCCCAACCATCCCAACTATGATGAAAAAGAGCATGTGCATGAGGAAGTACCAGTGATTGGTGGATGAGCCACTCCGGGTGAAACCTGTCTTACCTGTCACACAACCTGAGTTTCAATCACTGTGAGAAAGAATGCCACTGCTAACTGTTGAGTCCTTCCCAAATTTTCAGTTGATAGAGCCACATACGACTCCCGTTTTGTGAGATCAGAAAATATCTGACTACAAATACTATGTAAATGGAGTTGGTGTAGAGGAAGATTAAACAGACACTGAAACAGTGAAACTCTAAAACGTTTGCTCACAGTACACCAGCCTGTTTTGTAAGCCTGTTTATTGTTGATTTGTATATTTGATGGTTTATTTGCATTTGTGAGTCATTTTGTCTGCTTTTAGACTTGCAGTCAGTACACTACTCTGAGTTCTCTTACATGTCCAAGTGTTTAAAACATATACTTAATACCATAATCTTGTCTAATTCTACAACGCAACTGTCCAAAAGAGTCTCAAAATGCTTCTGGTGGCTTCTACAACATGACTGAGGCATATGAAATGTCAGACCAGATTTGGCACCCAGTTCCACATAGCTCCACGTTTGTTTACAGAGGAGCATAGTTAGCCTAAGCTCATCAAAACTGCTTATTTGTGTTTGCACAGTATAAACTACAGCTTTCTTCCACACATAGAAGCTAATACAGCACACCCGCCGTTGTGCCCCCCTCTCTCTTTGTCCGGGCCTAACAGTGGAGAGTACATGACGACAGATGTGTTTGAGTCTGGGCTGAATCTTGTTCAATATTTACTGACGTCTTAAGGAGATCCAGCCCACATGAAAGAACCCCAGCTTGGCTTCCAGTTAAAAGGCAGGTTTGGGTACCAGCACAGAGCGAGCCCCTGTGGCAGGTGGCCTCCCGGCCTACATCTCACACAACTCAAACAATTCAGAATCTTGCTTGGTTACTCTACACATGCACACTGGATGCAATCCAGCCCACAGCACAGCTGGTGTCATGGTCAGAAAGCCAAGAACATGCACTTGGGGGCATGCAATGCCCCAAACTAGATGTTGGCATGGAAGTGTGAGGTTGGGAAGGACACATCTGACCTTAACATCTGTTTGTCTCACAGTATTTTATGTATTCTTGTGTCAGGCAGCAAATGTCTACTGTATTTGGACATTGGAGGTGTGCAGGAATAATTTTAATTACAAAGAGCTTTTTAAAAAAAAGTGTAAGACCACTTTGAACCACAATGTCCCACTCCTCTTTCCGAAATTGTCAAAATCATGAGGGTATCACAGACTTTCCTTCCAACAACACGAGATAATCTGCATCTTTACAAATGGTATATTCTACAATATGTCTTCTAACCCAGGTTTTGCTACTTGTTGCTGTAGTTTGTGCTTTATTATTTACCAGGATACGAGAAGTTACCTCTAAGCAAAGCATAATGATAATGAAAAAGTGACCGAGGTGACACTTGAGAAATCTAAAGCAAAACTGACTTGGAATTTTTGCTTAAAAAAAGATTGAGGTGTTTTAAAGTAAAAATGCTGTATTCTTCCATTTAAATATTGATTATTTGTACATAGATCACCTTACCTCTGGATAACAGGGCCTCAGTTCCAGGATGCTGCATTTAAGAACTGCTAGAAAACTGGAACTTCAGATGTTTGTGGGCATGGTATTCATTATTCATCTTATTTTGGTTATTGAATACAAATTAAATAAATATCTTCTGATGGAGGTGTTTGGGTGAGGAGTTTCCACATGCTTCCACCGTACAAAAAACAGATCAATATCCAGCAAAAGACATTGTCCAGTGTTTGTAAAGTCAGAAGTTTAGAATATACAACCTTGGGATATTCTTGATGACATTTTTGTTACAAATGTTTTTTATGATTCACAGCTAGGCTGCAAAGACCATCTTCCATTTTTGAAAACTATGTGTACAAGGAACGTTCATAATTTTGTAGTCGTGATATGCAGGAAGTTTGATATCTGCAGGTATGGCACACATCCAAAGAAGTAAAGGCCTGATTAATTTAGAATAAGGAGAACAACCAGAGTACAAACATCGACGGGGAAATATGCGACTCCCTTCTTACTGTAAGTCTTCATTTCAGTGAGACAGTGACGGTAAGACCATGTGTTTTCTTTGGATTGTAGCAATGAGATTCCGGTCTAAAAATAGATTCCTAAACTTTACCAGCCGGAAAATGACTGATACTACCCTGGTGTTTAATAAATATACTAATTAAAAACTTTTTAAAACCTTACCCTGATTCAAGTTAACAATTAATAACTCCTCCGTAGGTATTCACAATGTTTTTGTGTGCCCACTCCTCTTAGTAAAAAGCTGAAATTACAGAAAATACAGATGTATGCAGAAATAGATATATAGCTGTTTTCTTTTATTGTTTTAGTGTTTCAGTTTCATCCTATATTGCAGCTTGTCCATGACAAACTCATCAGAGCTGGAAAAGCACAGCTGAAACTCTTTAAAGCCACAATGATTCACGTGTTTTCAGTGTTGCAGAAAAGAATGACAGTTAGGCCTCAGTGCACAGCGTCGGAACCACCCAGAGGTGGAATTCAGTCATCAAGGATACTGTTTTGTGAAATGTCATGTCAAAGTGTCTGCTGTTAAAAAGAAAAAAAAGACAGTTTGTGATTGCAAACTGTAAACAAGAGCTCATGGTTAAGTCTGAAAATTTTAACCGGTGGACGGTGAATTCATTCGTGACTATATGCATTATTGAGTTTTAAAAAACGGTAAATGGTAAAGTCCCAAAGTAGGCTTCAAAGAGACACTGTTGAAGCCCTCACCTCCCTAGATAGCCTTTGTTGGTTTAAGAAGAGATACAAGGCCATTATGCTTCAGGATCCCTTTATCACCAGCTAATCACTGATCACAGGTTGCAAGGTTAGTCCTCTGAGAGGGGGCATTCCAGTCAACCTTTTAAAGGTGAGTGTGGGTTGAAAACACTTCACTCTGAAGAGTATTTAGTGTAGTTCAATGCAGTCCAGGACCACTTGTGTGTACTTGTGACAATGCCCACGGACCCCCAAAAAAGAATTAAGTACATTCTCCCATGTTGTGACGTTGGTACACGATGTTCAATTATATAACAATAGTTTTGAGAATGTGAACTTTCCTTAACCTCCTCACTGCACATTGAAGAACAAGTGATGGCCGGCTAACCTGTAACAATGCCTAAAGGAATCTAATCTAATCTCATTTTCCAGACTAGATAGATAAATTGTATGGATGTGAATGATAGGAATGTTTAATGAACGACAAAAAAGTCACCCGGAAATGTTTAACTTCACTAACCCCTATTATGTCACGCACAGATAAAAGTGTTATTATTATATTATTACGTAGTTTTGAGGATTTTATTTAAACATAATCTATTTTATTCATTTTCTGTAGATCATTTGAGGATTTTCAGTATCTTCTGTTTTTTTACTCTTTAACATAGGAGCTACTAGTAAAGGCTCTGTTTGTGTGTCTCAGTTAGAGTTAAAAAAACCTACTTTACAATCGACCACATGTCCTCAACCGGACAATTATGTAGAATTAGAATCAATGGCATGAGTTTTACTTAATTGTACCACAGCGCCCCCTGATGGCAGTGCTGCAAAGTGTACTGATGCTTTCCATTTAATAGGAAAAAAAGGACATTTTCTATGGCTTGCCACTAGATGCCAGCTGTGAAACACTTCTCCAGCTTGTGACACTGGGGTGATAGCAGGTCCCGTCTACTGACTGAAACAAGGCAAAAATAAACGTAAGCAAGCAAAGATGAGCAGACATGGAGTTGAGATTGAGTATACACTGAGGTGTTTAATAAAGTTGACAGTTTCTACTGTTTGGGACTTCACAGGAGAACAAATTCTATGAAAGAGTTGTTTACTTCATTTTATACAGAATAAGAGAGATAAACTAAATTACACAAGAAAAGCCAATATTTGTACTTTTGTGTAGAATACAAATTTTGTACAACATCTAGCATAGTATCTTAATTGTTTAATAAAAAGTTCACTTGAATATTTATTGTATGTCGAAAATAAAATAACACATTCAAGGGAAATAAAATGCAGATTAACTTAAAATCTATTTAGAATTTGAAACAAATAATTTCATAATTGGCAACAAAGTCCAGCTTGTGCCGCCAAACGGTCTGAGCACTCAAACCGAAAACAGCTTCTTTAGTTAAGTGAACTATCAACTACAAACACTTACCAAACACGTAGTTCTGTTTATAAAAGCCATGAAGCAAAGCAGTGTACTCTTGCACAGCAAAGTGAGGAAATCCTCAACAGAGGTTCATCAATTACCCTTCCTTTCACATTCATCAGCTGGGCACAATTTGGGGATGGACCGAAATAGCAAAGTGTACTGCAGTGCATTCACCACGCGTTTTCTTGTGTGAGTCCACTCTGAGAGGAGGCAGGTCTGGTCAAGTCTGAGAGATATCTGCATTGTCTTTCTTTAACTGAAAGCAAATGAAAGTGGTGCAATTTCTCTTTGGGATAAGGCATATACTAACTGTGCATATCAATAGAGCAACTACAAAATTCCCTGATATGTTACCAAGTGCTAAAATATGTGCTCAACTTTGAGGTGATGCTGCCAAGACAGGCTGACAATTTTTGTTGTAGTCATTTATTATTGCTATTTTCCCCTGCTGTGTGAAACTGGATTACAATATGGATGAATATACAGTGTGTTAAGTATGCCTACTAATATATATATATATATGCACGCATATATATATATACATATATATATATGTGTGTGTGTGTGTCTCGTGTGTGTGATTATGACAACATGGCCTAAACGAATTACTCAACGTGCTTTGAATAAAGTCTTTTTCTATTTCTATTTCTTTTTTCTATAAAACTTGTAGTCCAGTTATTTCCACATCTGGCACTTCAGAATAAGAGGTTAACAGTCCGACGTTTTTCTTCCTGACGGATTGCAGACTGAATATGACTTGCGATGACATCATATTCTTTATATATTCCATATAAATTGGGGTTAAAACTGCATAGATCCATACAGGCATAAAGTGAGAACTCCCATGAAGCTTATGATGGGGGCAGCGTGGGTCAGAAACACACACAAGATAAGCCATGGCGAATGCAGAGCAATATCTCGCTTTTACAGCAAATTTCTCATACAAATGTGTGCCTTTCAGAAAAAAGATTTAAGTCAGTCAGTGTGTTGGGTTATGATTTACCTTTTAAATGATTTGTGTCTGTCGTGATGGAGAATTACAGAAGTCACAGCCTCTTTTTCTGTCCTTTACAGTGCAACGACACATGCATCAGCCTGATGCCACCACATCTCGGGTGTGCTTGACTTCAGCGTCTTCAGATGATTTTCACTTTTTCTGGCTCCTATGGTTTCTACAGCAGGGCTACAGCACTCTCACTAAAAGGGCATAGATATGCAATACAATTTCTGGAGCCAATGAAGGAAACATGATTATGTTTAGACGGTGATATTTACAACCACACAAGGGGAAATGAATGACCAGTTTTTGTATTAAAGTCAGCAGAGACTTCACCATGTTTGTGTCTAATTTCCGCCAAGTTTCCACGAGTCGTTACCAGGATTGTGGAGGTGGTTTTTAGAGATGGCATGTCTTTCAGTCGAGCTACATGCAATAACAATAGATTACTCTGTAACGTGGGACTAGGATATGAATAGTGGCAGTGTATTCAGCACCTGCTGGTTTACAAACACAATTGGCGAGAGGAAGCCCTATTTCCTCTAGCCTTGTGATCATCCTTCAGAAAAAACAGTGGAACTTCAACCTCAGGGCACTGTTGCTACAGTGTCCTCGGGAAAAACAAGGACCACTCATGATGAGAAAATAAGATGATCATTTGCAATAAAAACACAGGGGAGGTTACGTGATGACTCAGTTTTAACTAAATAAAATTTAAATGTTGACCAGTGAATTATCTGCTTTTTAAGGGTCCAGTCTTGTAAACTTGGCTGTAAACCACAAAAATATACTTTTCTTGAGACGGGAGATGCTGTGCATTGACCACATACTCTCACCCTGGTAATATATATTAAAGTTGCTATTTACACAACAAAAGACAATGTTTGGCTCAAACCTTCAATTGTACAAACGGAACAGCAAATGTTCATGGCTTTAGATATCGATTCAAGATCTAGAATACATGGTTTTACACTTCAATAAAGCACAATAAAAAATAAAACTGTGACGAATGAGAGGGTGTGTCTGAGTGAACTGTTAGGAAATTATAGCAACTGTACAAAACACAGACAAAAGAACAGCTTTGGCTTATATTACTGATGAACTGTTTAACAAATGAGACCGTGTTGACTTTCTCACCAGCTCAACTGGACAGGATCGCGCTAAATAACTTGGTGTATTTATATAACCTAGCCTTTTAAATATGAAATGAATAGTCTGTCATTATTGCAATAAATTTGATGCTCTTTTCTTTTTACCTCGCACATTACTGTTCACAACAGTAGTCCTAACTGCTGAGATTATTTTGCTGTGTTATCATACTTCCTGGATAGCAATACCTCCATGTGTTCTATGTCTCCTGGTCAAATTAGAAGAAGTCACATGTTATAAAGGTCTTGTGTGGTAATATCACTGCTTTAAAGATAGTTATGTATCAAGAGTTTTCTCAGTCTGAAAGCAACTCAACTTTCTCTGACTGTTGCAACATTGCAAGCACAACAGCAATACAGCAACTACATGTAAGTGTCTGACAAGACCAGTGACTACAATAATCTACCACCTACAGCTTAACATTTTTCCTGCGAACATCTTTCTTCTGCAGATGCCATCTGAGTTGCACCAAGTACCTGATACCACCTGCTTGTGTACATAAATCAGTCCAGCCAACTGGATTCTCCGCTCAGTTTCCTTTATAGGTTTGAGAATTTACCCGAGATATGTCCTGATTATATCTTAGTCTTACAAATTGAATTGGAGTTGAATGATGACCTTTTAATGATAGCTCTAAGGACCCTTGCTCCTCCTTTTATCCCCACATCTAAACCCTCCCTCTCTCTGACTGGCTGGTGCCTGCAGATCTGATCAGGACTCTTTATGTTACCCAAGTGTCCATGCGCAAGCGCTTGACCGATGAACTCTCCCTGTCTTCAGAGCCAGAAGGGGGTCTTCCGAGCCCGAGCGGAGAGTGGAAGTCTGGCCGGTGGTCCTCGCGGTCACTCCCATCGTATGAGCTACAAGATGAACTGAGGCTGTCGGCAGGTGAACGTCCCAGGACTTCCTGTCGGCTGGACCCTTGCTGGGGCTGTTGTGGGGGGAAGCCTGATGAGGTGACTCGCTCCCGCGGTGGTGAAATGGGCTCGGACTTGATGTTTATGCTCTGGCTGGTGCTGATGGATAGGTTGGAGCCCTGAGGTAGGTGACCTCCACCACTGGAGCAGAGGTAAGCAAGACATTTTGCAATCAGTTTTGAAAAAGAAAGAGACAACCCGCGTGACAAGCAGCAAGCCCCGGAACATCGAGAAGCGTGATTCAGCATGACATCACAGAACAATGTTGATGTTGCTTTTATGTGCAGGCGTCTGCAGAGAGTGCCTTTGTTTGTGAGAGTGTTACTCACACCAAAGAATTAAGAGCTGCCTGGCCCAATTGATGCTGTTGCCATGCCGACATGGAGCCCAGTGAGAGCCCGGGAGAGCTGAAGCCCTGTAGGGAAGAGATCTCTGCACTGCTCAGGGAGTACTCTGTAAAAACAAAACCACCAACACAAACACACTGAGAACTGATTCGCATTTCACTTTCAACACTGCGTGCTAATGAGACAAGAGTAGGAACCAACAGCATGTACCGCAAACAGTCCCAGCCGTGAAAAGTTGTTTTCAGTCCGAGAAAGTGGAAGAAATGTTCAAACTCACCAGCAGGATTGTAGGAGGTGGGCATGCCTGAGTAGACCAGGCCCTGTGGGGGTAAGCTGGGGGTGGTAACAGACACTACAGGAGTGGCAAGTGGCTGAGTGGACTGGGAACTGCTTATCCTATGGGTGTTCTGAAAAAACACACACACAAGAAACAAACAGAAAAATAAATAACCTCATACAAGGCAACTTAGACTTTGGATAACATAATGAGGGTATATATTCACATGATTTAGCAGAATGGTGATGCTTGGGCCAATAAGTGAATTCTATATTAGATTATTGTTGCGTGTCTATATTGTTCACTGTGGTGGGAAGATACAATAAGCCACAAGGTGGCAGTGTAGCTTCATGGAAAATCTGTATTCAGATTTCTGTCTGATTCATATTTATATATAATGAATCAGAAAATAATATTATATATATATATATATATATATATATTCGATTAGACATACTGGGCATTTCCCCCATACAATGTAAAAATGGTTACCTTTAAAGACAGTTTTCTGGACTACAGTGACATGAACAACTTTTTTCTAACCATTTTAAAATGCACAAATAACCGATATGGTTAGAATAGAAATCCCAATCGCAGAACCGCATTAGAAACGGTTTATTGCCTTTTAACTTGAGAAGACAGAAGAAATATGTTATATTTGAAGACTTCATAGCAGATTACATTTGGAACGGGATGATCCCTCCAAGATGATGTATCAAATAAAAATTCAGTGTGAGAAAAACCATGCTAGAGATCAGTTTGACATTTTTAAAAATGCCCAAGTGAGATGGTGCAAGATTATAACCCAAATTGCACATGTTGTTTCCCAGTGACACACAGCAGAGATCCAGTGGCTTAGAGCAGTGTCCACACAAAAACACCTACACGGCTTGGTGTGGTCATGCAGTGAGCTACAAGCACGAATACTGCCTGGTAATCAAAAGCAGACATGCTGTCGTTCGGAACAATACTACAACAAATCCTTCATGTGTAATGTAACAAACATATGTGCAGCTGCCAGTAGTTACATTTGAAGCCGCATTGCATCATGATGTTGATGGCTTCCTAGAATTGTTCCAACACTATGCAGCCAAATGACTTCACCGAACCTGAGTATCTCACAGGATGATTTCATTTGAGATGATGTCATCTACTCTGCCTCAGAAAAAAATAAATATATAATTTGCATTTAACTCATTGCTCTTAAATTGTTAAACACCAAACACTGACTGCGGCACAACTGTTTAAAAAAGTATTAAGTATTGATTTGCACTCTCTAATAACACACACGCACACACTAAGACCCACTGACACTCCTGGAGGTACATGACTAATATTGACGTGTTGGGATTAGTGGAGCCAATTACACAGGCCAAGTCAATTTTCACAGGCAAAACCCAAAGCATGCAGTGACAAAAGGTTCTGTTTTTTAACTTTCTTATTGCTGTCCTCAGTTTGAGCACTCCCCTCAGTCTAGCATCTGTGATCATCCAAGGCATGTTGGCATTTCAGCCATTTGCCCAGGCATTTGTCACAACTCACCAAATCCATTTCCTCCTCCTCCGACTGCCCTCAACAGAAGAAAAGAAGAGAGTTACAGAGAAGAGGAGCAATGGTAAATTGCTCGGATGGAAAAAGTGACAGCTATCACGATTTTTGTGTTAAAGGGACAATGACGAGCATAAAACTGCTGATGAACTCTGCAGTCTGTTTAAAAATCCACCCATTTTCTACAGAGCGGAGATATCCCAGTAGCTTCCCTTTATCTAACATTTAAACAAGTTACTGCAGTCTTTGAACTCTATGCATATCTGAAGCAGTTTGCTGAGATCTCTGGCAGTAACTTTACTAGATTGTCAAACAATTTTATACTTGTCCTTCATTTATAACAAAGTAACTGACTGACAATGTAATTCTAGAGGCCTCGTCAACTCATAATTGGCAACTTCATAAACATTCCTTTTGCAACAAAAACTGCGCAGTGCTGTGTTACCTTGGCTGAAAGGAACACCGAAGAGCACATTTTCCATCTTTTCTGTGCTGTGGGACATACTGCGACCAGGCTAGGGCTCTTAATACCCACACTCAATCAATAGCGGTAGGAAGACACGACAAGGGCGACAAGATATTATCTGGCTCACACCCTGGGCCCCTGATTAAGTCTTCATCTACACTCTGTCACACTGAGATGTGATTAATTTAATACCATTATGGCCTAATGACAGGCTGTCTGCAGACCTGCCACAGCCAGCACCCTCCACTGCCTCTACCACTCAAAAACGCCATGTTGGCCTAGACAGGACTAAACCAACCTCTAGCCGCTGCCTAACCCGCTCATGACCCCCTGCAACACCACCTGTCCTACTCTATGTACATTCCACATGCAGACACAGCAACAAATAAAGGAGGAGCATCCTCATAATCAACGGCTTACTTTGCATAGAACAATCATTTCTCGATAATAAATTGTGTAACTGATGCCTGCTGTAACACACAAAGCTGTCTGCTGTCTGAAAGTCACTCCCTTTACATGTTTTTTTCTATTTCTAAATCTTGATTTATGGATGTATTTACCCTCAGGTGTTTGCTGTGGTGAGGGCACAGTCTAAATTAGTAATCACAACTCGAGAAGGCCTCTCGTCTAAATGAAAATAACATGATTTTTAGGGAGATTTTCTTTAAATTCTTGGCGTTATCCACATTTAAATGATGGTGATGGAAATGAAACACAATACAGGAGGGATGTTGCTGAGATATAATGTTTTGTGTAGCTAAACAATACTCTTACTGAGGTGACAACATCACCTGCACATCATGATATGATAACATCGAAGACGTGTGCAGGCAAAATCGGCAAATATGAAAATCTCTCTGTAAAGACTGAGAGCCAAACTGTTCTTCGCCCTGCAGCAGAGATATTCAGAGGTTCTCGGGCTGGTGATACTTGTGTGCAGTGGTGTGTTCTGTGCTCACCAGTGGGGGCATCATCCCTTTGCTTGATGGAGGGATAACAACCCTAAGGTCTGGCTTGCGGCTTCCCATTCCCATGTTCCCTCCAGGAGGTGGTGGGGACTTGGTGGGCATGACTTTACCCAGGCCATTGCCGCTGGTCGTGCTGAGGAGACCTGGTGAGCCTCTGGGGTTTACGAAGCCGTTCCCTGCAGAGGTACACAGCAACAGAAACACATCATCAAACCATAAACTGTGACCAACAACACTCCCAGTCATCAAGCAAGGCCCTCGCACCGTGTTGTTTTCCAGCTTGCTGCTGCACGCAGCGTTAAGTGTTTCCAACCCTCAGGGAAGTTTTAATCGACTCAGATAATTATCCTGCACATTTACAAAAATAAAATGTCCATTTTAAAATTGATGAGCCTGTTATTTTTTATTGTGAATGATTACATCAAAGCCAGTTCTTTGCATCTTGGGAAAAGCAGCAGTTCACTGACAAATGTACTGTGACTGCTTAAAAGAAACAACCGAGGCCATTACAGCTCAATGAGTACAATAAAATGTATATTATTTTTAACATTTGTCATGCAAACAGACGCAAACTGCCAGACTGTTTCCCCCATATTCACACCTTGGTGTTTGTGGTCATTTGGTATTTTCATTTTTTTTCATGAAGTTAACACACATCACATCGGAATTTCCCGAAGAAGGCTAATTTTTACATTCTGGGTGGACAGATCAGTGAATAAATTGTGCTTAAAAAATAGTTTTCATATCATGACATGTATGACTGACAGAACAACAGTGTTTAAGAATCCTCCATGTATTTAGTGCTACACAAGAAATCCTGGGAAAAAAAGGCACTACATTTTTTGTAAGAAGCACACACAATTCTCGATGGTTTGTCAGTTTAAATACAAAAACAAAATGAAGGTGTCGAACTGGTAATACTAAATGGTTTTAAAGATTTATATACTCAGTTCAAAGCTTTGCTCTCTTTTTAAAGACAAGCTTCATAAAAGATTTATTCTTCCAGTTTTTTCAGACCAAAAGTAGCTTATTTTCATCAGCGTGATACCGTATGACTCATCTACCCAGGTATGCTGTGGGATTCTATAAATTCCACACAAACAGATTCTAATAAAAACAGGGCAGCGAGTTGTTATAGAAACAACAGTAAAACAAAAGTAATATTTCAAGCGCACTAGAATCTTAAGCCGGGCTTACTTTAAGTTATTTTGAGAAAAAGGCTATATTTGAAACAAAAAAATCAAAACAAAACAAAACCCGAAAACAAGTGGAATAGAGGATTTATGCTATCTAGCACAGCATCAGCAGATCAGTAACACTTCAACAAGTTGCTGACTCCTCTATTGTGTTCAGTGCACCCCAACGAAACAAAGTGTGTGCACAGCGAGGAGACTCTTGCGTAGGAACATAATGGAACAATAGCCCCGCTGACTACAGATAAGGAGAGCAACAATTCATGGTCAAATAAACAGTTATGAAGCCTACAATAGTATCTCACAGCTGAATCAACAGTGTGTACAAGCAGCTATCACCATCAGCCCTGGCTTTGATCACACAAGACTTGGCTGCTGCAAGAAAACAGTGTTTACAGAATTAGCCGAGTAAATGTCCAAGGCCCCAAAAATAGCAATCCTGATTAAAAGCAGCGAGGATGTCATTTAGTGGGAATGAGGAATTAGTGCAAATAGAATTTCATGTAAAGGAATGGACTGCAATTTGGCATCTGAGGTCCTGTCTGATAACAACCAGTGAAGTTTTTCACTTCAACAAAAGTCTGACAGAAGTCTGAAACTGTAGTTAAGTGAAACAAGACGAAGGGGAACTTTGACTGACAAAACAGAAGAGCCATCTCTGTCATCACTGGCTGACCTGTTCCATCTTCTGAGTCAGAAATATCCCAAATTGTTCTTTTTTTTTTTACTTGTTACACTGTTACTCATACAACAAAGTCTTCACACACAATATGCATATAAGTTTATATGCTTTCAGGGTTAAATATTTTACTTGAAACCACAACAGGAACAAAATGCATCATGTTTCTACACTGTGAAGAAAAAATAACGCAAATAAACTTCACTAATGTTCACACCTTGTTAGTAAACCACACCTTGGTTTACGGTTTGATTGACACTGTTTTATGACTCATATAGTCACATAACATTGTTGAATTTAATGATTCCTGTGGAATAAATGTTATATATTTCTGTAATTCAATTAGTCTTTTTATGTGCCACAATAAGGTTAATGTTTTTTGGTTTTAGGAAAAATATTCCACAGTAAACTATCAAATGGTTTGGTGCATGGTCTTTCTGAATGAGGACGGTTCAACTTATTGCTATGGATTTTATTAATATCTATTTTGCATATAATTCATGACTCATTTTACTTTCAACAAATTATATTGTTCCATTTTTTTTAAATGGTTGTGTAACTGCCCTAATGAAATATAACTAACAGTGTTCTTTTTAACAAAACACACGTAAAAGTATTTTTAAAAAGCTGTTGTTGTAGCAGGAAAATTGACAAGACAATAATAAGCAGGATGCTGAGATTGATTGGAACAACTGCCATTATGCTTCTCCACTGCATGAATAATAGGTCTTGTTCAATCAGATAACAGCTTGCATAAAATTGCTGCTCTTCTAATTGTTGCACTCGGGGAAGACTTCTATTAGCATTCAAGTTACTGCTCATAGGATGCTAGTCTACATGGAGATGCTGAGCTAAGTAACAGTACATTTCATTCCATAACATTGTCAGGACAAAGTTTGTTCTCTGACTGGTTTACTTATGGATTAACCCACTTCCTTCTCGACAGAATGTCCCTCTGATTATGAATGACTGGTGGTGTCTAAAATCAAATAGCTCTTTTAACTGAATTTCAGGCAAGACACACATGCTGAGCAAATAAATTTACCATAAAGGTAAAGCGCCAGCCACCACAAGTTTAGACTTTCAAAGGGGGGCGTTTCACCTGGTTTAACTATGGATGGCCACACTCTATTCTCTGTGACTGAAACCTGTTGAAAGCTGTTTGGTTTCTGTTAATTGCCTGAATTATTAACACAGTCTGGAGAGGGGTATTCCATTAGTGCCTGGGCTTACTCCTGAAACATTTAGTTTTTACTTAAAGTTCAGAGAAAGACAAAATACAGTGAAGTGTTATACCAACTATCCAACGTGCATTAGGCTCACACAAAAGAGAAATGCCTATACCAATAATAGGAAACAATGCAATTAAATCAAACACAATAACACCCCACCACCACCATCACGTACACACACACATGCAAATATACTTTAAAAATGTTTTCCAAGAGCTTGTAACGTTTCAATATTGATGAGGTGATGTGTGCAGGTTGCAAACACTCTGCAGAACTGAGAGTGTTCACTTAAATCCTCTTTATTCACCACAACTTTCTCACCAGCCAAGGACAAGAACATGTCAGTTGGTGAATAGTTAGGAGCTGTTAAGAAAAAGGATGTATTGTTGAATTACAAATTGGAAGGTAAAAAGTAGCTTGCAGTTTAAAATGAGCCTTTTTCCTTTGGGTTTTGCATTATGCGTATTTGCTGTGAGCCGTTATCTCAACCGGAGACAAGAAACAACAGATGGCGTATTGCAAAGAAAACAACAGAAAACTTCTTTTGCCAGAAAAGGTTGCCAAAAGTGCTCACATATGTGCACTTATAAGGCAGAACATTTAAACAAACACCTAATAAACAAACCAGATCTTGCAATTAAAGCAGAAACCGCAGAAGGAGCAATAGTATGGAAAAATACATTTCCCTCACCACTTTTAAGATACTTTTATTCTTTTGTAAGTTGTGACACTGCTCAACAGCAGAGGAGACATCTTACATCTGGCCTTTTTGAAATCTCTGTGCTGTTCGCTCATAGCTTCAACTTGCGAATAATCATAACCATCTCAGGAATGGTCATCTGACATCAGGGCCGGAGAGGTTAGTCCTCCTTGTCGTCTCTGCTCTTCAGCACACTTGGTACAAACAACAGCTGCAGCATGCTCACAATTTGCCAAATGCTGACACCCCCTGGCAAGGACTCTGCTTCGACCCAGCACCACACCCAAACCTAAGACGAACCCTGCACTCTCTTTAAAGCGGGTCACAGATTAAGTTTTAACTTCATAACTAATATCTGATCAAATTCTTCTTTAATCTTCACTTGTTAATCTCATTAGATATCACTGAACGTATTATCTGCTGCATTTCACAAGAAATCGTGCATGGTGGAAAACACACTGAGTGACAAGGAAAGTGTTAAACTCCACCTGCCTCCACGACTCACACGGCACATTTCAGCTATGACAGCCTGTCCGGTCATTGTGTACCGAGGACTTAGTGGGATGACATGGCCTGAATACCTACAGGGTTATGCTGGTCTAGGCATCTTACCGACCCTCTCAAGCCTTATAAGGGCTGCCAGAGTGGCGGGGAAAACAGATGCACCTGTCATTTGAGGGAAGGAAATATGAGAGGGGATAACTACATGGAGGTGACAATTTTAAGGGAAGCACTGCGTTTATTCACCAGCCGATGTCAGTGGGACAGTTACTGACCTACATGGTATTAAAACCACACTGACCACAAGAGTGCCGTTGAGATGCTTCCCACCACTCAAATATGAATCTAGCAAGACTTTAATACATTTACCCCTGTTGAGAAGACAACTGTCAAGCCAATGTATTATCAATCAGCGATTGTGGCAGCAGTCTTGAAGTAATCACAAATAGATACGCAACTATTTACCTCGTGTGCTAAGCAGGAGGCCTATTGGGCAGAGCTACAGAGAGCTAATGAATCTCCCCGGGAAGACTTACCCGCTGGGCTGGGGCCTGCACCACTTGGCACTGAAAGGTCTGTGGTATCCAGCATGCCACCTAATGAGATGCACAGAGTGATATGATTAACCATCTGCATCCTTCTGCATGCTAGCGGAGTGTGATGGAGACGCCAGACTAGATGTGAAAATGTCAAGCAGATCTATCTTCACAGCACACAGAAGGGTGGCATGTCTCCACCAGTTCCCTCTTGGTGGGAACATTTTAAAATCTATCATTAAAGGGGGCAATATCTGCACTTTGCTCGTGTTCAGCGTGCTTTGAGTAATGAAAGCTGGTGAATGCAGCCTTCCACAATGAGGATGCACCTTTAGCAGGCAGTTATACGTGCTCAGGGGAAGTGGGCATTCATCTGAGGCTCTGCACAGTTTGGCACGTCGATGTTTTAAGAGGTAGACCTAAATGTTAGAACTTTATGCAATCTTCTCCTGATGATCTGACATAAACACCAACCAACGAATTAAAAAAGACGAAGAATAAGAAAAACAAGAGACTTTGCAGTGGTTTATTAAAGCACAGAGGTTATTCTTAAGAAAAAACATTTAGTAAAACCCCCCTTGTGTGTAGGTGCCAGCCAGTCATGATATGTGGTTAAATTTGAATGAGATATTTCACACCTTGCAGCATGCACTTCCATTGTATTAAGTGTAGCCGAATCTCGCAAACGCCATCTGGACTGACTGAGTCAGACCCGGACATCCAACAGGCAGTTCATCTGACATCATTTCTCCAAAATGCTAATACAGTAAAAGGTGCAATGGTGAGCAGTGTAGAGGGTGTAAAGAAATGTAGCACACGGCCACAAGATAAAGGGTGGTGGTGTGAAATGACTTCCTTTTAGGTCCTTTACATCTCACACCATCTTGGAAGACTGCAAGTTCTTTATTGCAACAGAGGCCAACACATCCTTTAAGCGTAGAGTTAGAAGAATAAAACCAAACCCATCTCCATGCATGTATGAGACTGCATGTGAAGAACAAGACACAAAACAACAGCTAGCCTGTGTGGCTAGACATAAATCTGTCTAGCCACACCTCACTAATTAACACAGCATATCTCATTTATGACACAAACTGAAATTAAGGGTGTTAGAAGTTTTTCTTTAGCACTGGAAAGAACCATGTTCACTCTTTCCCCATCCTTCCAGTGTTTATGCTCCATATTTAACACAGACATGAAAACTGCATTAATCTTGTCAGCTAACTCGAGATCGAAAAAGTCCAACATTTTCTGACCTTGGAGAAACTATTGGCAGTAACCATTGAAGGAAAACAAAAAAAAAAGAGGGTTGAAAAAAAAAAAACCCATAGAAAACAACGTTAACCACCATCGGCACTCTATCAACTACTTTGACAGATTGTCTGGGATTTCTGTTCACCAACCTGCACTGCCTGCACTGGTGGGCCTCTGGGAGCCTCCACCGGAGCCAACATTCCTGTGCAGAGAGGCCTGCGGAGGGGACAGCATCCCGCTCTCACTCAGAGAGGCTGTGGCCGCTGCCAGGGCCTGGCTGCTGAGACTCCCTCCTGCCTGGTACATGGCATTGGGATTGGACACAGGAACTGCCACATGCATGGAGAAGTTCTGCTGCGGCAATGCTGAGGGCTGAGGGAAGAAGACAAACACAAAAATATTTACACAAAGCCCTCTCCAAATGCAAGGTCTGGTAAGTCTGATGGGTCAACAGTTGTCATGGCATCATTAAAAGAGAGCTCCCGATGAAGGTTAGTGGTAACAATTCAACAGATTTGCAAAATTGTTAAACAGTGCTGTATGGAACTGGTTAAAAACAAAACAAAAAAAACAATTTAACCATACCAAATACATTAATACAATTGTTTACAATGTTTACATTTCTCATTTCACAATCCTCAAGATCAGTTCCCACAACTTACAATAAACACAGAACACGCTTACACCTTTAATGATACAGAGTCCAAAAAACAGAACAAAAGTAAAAAAAATAAAGATACATGCATACAGGTGGTCACTTAGCATTGCAGCAGTCAGCACTTCATACATATTTCTGCCCTTTAAAACACAATACTGTGACGTGCTGGGCGATATTTGTCAAAACAACGTAACTGAGGATTCACAACAAAAATTGCCAAACATTTGCATCTGCCTCCAAAGTGCTGACTGTGCAAAACCTTAGGTGAGAACATCAGGTGGTAGCGACAGCATTTCATCATAGCATTATCCAGTGAGCCCGTTTGGCACTGTCATTAGTTTGTTAATGGCAAACTGATGCTCCTCATGTTAAGAAGATCGAAAACAAACTCCTTAGTCAGGATATGTTCTTGCACAATTATAAAATTCTCAGTCGTGATAAGATCACAGAAGCAGTGACATATTCGAGGATTAGCAAGTGTGTGATGAAGGAGAAGGAAGATGCAAAATCATCAGGCAGTGTGCTCCATAAATTTAATTTGACTGATTAGTTTTTCTTGCTTGCAATTATTTCAAAGCAGGGTTTAAATGATCAAGGAACTGAGGGCAAATAAACATGAGTAATTATGGATTTCCTTAGCAATACAGTGGAAATTAGGTTTGAGTTGGGAAAAAAAGAACCACTAAAAATTATTTGTGGCTGTGGATAATTAATACGGAAAATTGTGGAAAAGTATTTACCCTGGGATCTTGTGTGTTAAAATAGTGACTACTCTTGAATTTATGACAGCCATATCCGTGATAATAGGGTGTAATCTTTCTAGCAGAAATGTGCAACATTTCACCTGTTAATGAAATGTGATCTTATCAGGGTGTGTCAAAATATCTGATGGAAAACAAATCAACAAAAGAAACAAATGCACTCCCTTTAAAGGGGGGCATTAATCTCAAAGTAGTGCGCCTCTGAAAAAAGTTAACAGAGATTCTGGAGGGGTAGCACAAAAACGAAAAAGTTAAATAATTTTCCGAAAAAGAGAAAATCCTTTGTGCCACAAAGCCAAGCAAGAGCATTGCATTTACAGTACTTACGATTTTATGATTTCTCATCATATTATCAAACTCCTCATTAATTTTTTTATACTTTTCTTCAGTGTGAGGAGTGAGGACATATGAGGCATCGGGGTCCGGGCTATCACAACCTCTGTGTTCTTTCTTGTTTAGCGCCTGTAGTGAACATCAACATAAAGACAGGAATCAACACAAAACAGCAGGGGACAAAGGAAGTACTTACACCACAGCGCTTGTACATTAAATCACTGTCTTCGCTTAGTTTGCTGAAATGGTCGTCCATGAGGGGGCTGTGCCCAAAACAGTCATCAGGATCAGGACTAGCACAGTCATTATGGCCTTTGTTTCTCAATTTCTGAAATGAAATTGCACATTTGAAAAGACACAGTATACAAGATGTGGCACTGTGTTATTAATGCTGTTCACCAACAGTACTGTGTAAGTGTTCTACATTGTTTTGTTGCTTAGGAGGCACCTAATCTGTCCCAAATTCCATCTGTAGTAAGCTAAAACATACCACCAAGAGCCATGAAATAAACAGAAGTCCTGCAGCTCACAGGGTAACCATAGCAAACGTCTGATCAATTAACATTATTGAGGCAACCTGGGATTCAATATAATTATAGACACACACTGAATTTACAAAATAGCTATAGAAACATATTCATGGTGCCTGAAATAACAGAGCAGTCTGGATCTTTAGTGTTTTAAAGGCAGGTCAAGTAATCGACCACTGGTGTGAAATGCACCTGAAACTTTTGTGCAGTACCATACTATAATGAGAGTGATAGAAAAAGGACCAGGTTAAACCTCATTTTATAGCTTTCTATTTTTTCACTAATATTGGAATAAGCAAAATATTATCCTTTCCTCTTGTAAATCTTTCTCTCCCCTTCATGATTACTCTTCCAAACTCCACCCCTGTCTGTTCTTCCTTCTCGGCGAGTGTTTGCATTTTTCATTACATTTCAGCTATCATAAGCCATCCATCTGGAGGATGACACATCCAGTCTGTAATTGACTATAGTTGTCACTTGTGGGGATCTTATCAAAGTTAACGAATTAATAAAATAGATTATCAAATGTTGGTAAATACACTTATTTGAGCATGAAATTGAGCAATTATCATGAAAGGAATGAGTTTGCAAGTACATAGGGTGGTGTGTTGTGGCATTATGAAGAGTCTACTCTAATTTTGTGGGGGAAAAACACGTACAACTAAACAAATAAACATGGAATTCTGCCCCTTTTGCTCACTTTCTTACAGGCTGTTCTTTGCTCCTCATTACAGCTCTGAATAGCTGTGTTAACAAGACTTGCTGACAGCATGTGACAGCTTGTGATATCAAAGAATTGAACATCAAAACATGATTTATGTGTGGTTCTCAAGTTCCTCTATCAGGCTGCCTCAGGTCCACAGCAGCGCCCTGCCCTGTCTGTGGGTTGCCTCCGAGGCCTCGTCTCTACAGGAAGGTTACTGACTCCTGTGGATGTGGGGGTCAGATTGTGAACCAGAGAAGAGGAACCTTCACACACTAATGAGACCCTACTCTCTGTTTCTGGTCCTCATCACCCAGCAAAGTGGAAAATGTGTGTGTATGTGTGTGTGTGTGTTTGTAAGAGAAAGAAACAGAAACTATATGAGTGGGAGTGTGTGGCGCATATGTGCAATGTCTGCTGGTTGTGTGTGTGTGGCAAGTAGAGAGGAGTGGGGGGTGTTTCGACAGCTGCTGCATCCTCTGACAGCAATGTGACAGTACGTTTAGGTCTGTGCAGACAGTGTGGCTAACCCAGCGCTGTTCACCACAACCTCAGTATAAGCTGCTTTTCCTTAACCCTGTTCCGGGGCTCTGTGAGATTCCTGCATAATTCTCATGAAAAAAAAAGCCTAACTGTTCCCTCCATCCATGTGCAATTCACAAGCATATATTTTTTTTTAGGGATGCATATTTCCAGGCACAATAACAATGTTAATCTGCACTGTGCAGACAGAAATGTGCTGCTATAGACGGCTGGGACAGAAAAAAAGGAAGTTCAGAAAAGTACCCACATCTCTTCAAACATGAGTGTCCACAATGCCCAGAAGGGACCAAGACAGAGAGGTCCTCTAGATAATGAATGACCATTGCTGTACCACAGATGCATTACTGTTTGGTGTGGTACAGAGCAGAGGCATTCTTCTCATTCTATGAAAACGCCTTGCTGCTTCATTTCCTGTTTACTGAAAGAGTCCTCTTTAGTTAGGGTACTGAAAGCCCTGTGTTTACTGGGGTTAAACTATGCACTTTCTCCACCAATGAGCCAAAGATCCCATCTCAACCTGCAAATTTAAGCTCCAACCTGCTCATTATGGGAATATGTTGGTCGGACTGGTCGAGCTGTGTGAGATGGGCAGGGCTGTTCTACTTTCACAATAAGCCTGGCCAGCCTTCAGCACGTCCCACCCATAGGCCCAAGCCAATTAGGGAGGGGCTGCAGCAGCACTGTGGGTGAGCAGGAGCCAAATTGCTGCACTCAAGGGCAGGCAGAACGCAGTTCTGTTCACCATACATAAAATAGGAACAGCAGATATTTTTCTTGAGTGTTAAAAAGAGGAAAATATCAAAAACCTAGGAGAGGATGGGTAATTCTTTATCTAAATAACTTGGCATGAGTTGGGTGCCCCACAGACAACTTCCCACAGCTTCCAGTAAATGCTTCACTAAGTAAGCACATGGCCAAACAGGTGTACGACTTCCAAACACCTGTCAAGATCTGGCTCCCTATGCTGGCCAATCAGAGACCACCCTGCAGAGCCATGACCATAGCAGGGGGCAGCCCTAAAGCCACCCAAGCCCACATCAACCTCGTTCTTTCATGTCAATGTTGCTCACTGCCCAAGACGCTAGTGTTCTTACATGGTAAAGTTTTTGCTTTTTTTTATTATTCGTATTATGAAGACGGCTTTAAAACGTCCCTCAAACATTGAATCACACTGTGGGGTTTGTACTTTGAAAGTATAGTTGGCCCAGCATGAATGCTGCAGAGGCTGGGATTTTGAGAAGCATGTCTAAGAAAGATATGGGCTGTTGGTCACAGGAAACTACCACAAAGGGTACAGACAAGGGGACTTTGGTAATCTATTCACAAGGCCCCGGAGTCTCACAAAGATGAATGGGAACAAGGCCAGCTGCTGTTTTCTCAGAGTAGCCCAAACCTGAATTAACAGGAGTCTGGCTCTTCAAATAAAGATGAAACTCTGAGTAGCGGACCAGAACAAAACCTACTGGGCACCATTATATATAAGTGCATCTACTGTATGTGTTTCAGTAAGTTTGCTCATTTGATAATTGAAATTCGCTTTCAAATATTTTCCAGTGCAGGAGGCCTTGAAGCTACCTTGTCCAAATGAAAACGTCTCTCTGTGAGCTCCATCTGAGCCCTGGTTATCAGCCTTGTTGTTACCATGGGAAACATCCAGCAGAGTAATTACCTCCTTGGGTTTGCAGTACATAATCAGAATAGGAGGCTGCACAGTGTCAGGTGAGCTGCATTCCAATTTTATGTGATATCAAGATAAATTAGAACAACCAGACCACCACGGTATAAATGAGATTTCTGTTGCGTGATAAAGAAATACAATAAAAACTAAATTGAGCAAGCTAAGACAAATTAAAAGTCAACCGTTGTTATGACACATTGTCTTACACATTTATGCCTAATTTTGAACATTAGATCAACTTTTTTTAATGTGATATTCGTATCGCATGAGGTTAAAAATAAAATCTAAACCATTGCATAAACCACCTACATCACCCATTTCTTGAGTGGTACTTTCAGTAAAATGGGCCAGAGCAATTTACGCCACTGCTGTAAGTCTTGGAAAACCATTTCATTCTGTAGTCCCAGCTCTCTTGTGTGAGGAGAGCTTTTTTGTATTTAACTTATTCATGTACTGTACACTACTGTACCTGAAAAGAAGTCAGGGTGGAAGGAGAAAGATAGTGGTTATGTATAAAAGCTGACCTTCACATTTGTAGAGGGAGAAATGAGGGCATGAGGAGGCTTTTTGTGTAGTCTCTCCCACAGACTGAATCACAGCAAAGGACTATACTTAAAGTAGCTTTCAGTATAGCTGGAGCTTCATCTGATCTACAACTGCTCCATCACAGCTCTGATGCAGGCCCCCCCATGGCAAAACAGCTTTTAGTGTAATAAAGTGGAGTACCTCATGAATGTTTAATCCATGTAGTGTTTGTTCCAGTCCTCCCTGAAGTACACGGGAGCTGTATTTTAACTGGTTGTTCTGGAGTGGCCACCCCTCACCTCCTTTAAACCAGGTCCTCTGGCCCTCTCCTTCTCCAGTGCCATGAATTAGCCCTTGTGCCTGCCAATGCACCAGGGAAGGTAGCGAACTAATCCTTGTGACATAACTATTGTGTCCAGACTGTTCCGTATAATGTGCTTATCAAAGGGCTTCTTTGAGTGTGAACGCACTAGGAAATCAGCATGGGGAGCTGGCTGATAGGAAGCCTTTCATCTGCTGAGGAATATTTCTGCTCTTACATAACATCTTAAGAGAATTTCAAAACCGTCATGTTCCCTTACCCGTGTGGTACTGTAGCCTCACTTTAGGGAAATGAAAGGCTTCTTTAGTTTGTTATCTGTGTACTGTGTGCTGTGGTCCACCATTTGGTTACTAATGTAGGAGCCACCTTCTCTCATTTTTTTCCTCTCTTTTTACCGTGAGTTGGGAGCAAGGGACTATTGCATAAGGAGGTCACTGTAATTCCCAGACATATCTTTGTTTAATCTCATGACCATTCCACATCACAGAGTGGACTGATATCAGGATATGAGACTGGATTCATGTCCTTCCTTTTGCACACCCCATTGTCTTGTTACTCAGTGGACAGGAAGAGCGGCAGGAGGAGGCGTGCTCTCTGTTTTACTCTCTGCATCACAACTCTATGTTTTTCTCTTGCAGCTGTGAGAAAAAAATGTTTCAGCCAGAAGCCAAAAATTGGTAGATTACTGTGACCAAATGGCTCAGTGGATAGAAAAAGTGGAATAATTTCCAAAAGCAAAGAAGTTGAAGATGAGATTGTTTCTGGGTTTTTTTTTTATCTCTTTCACTTTTAGAATAACGAGATGGAAAATAATGACTTAAATCTAAAGTTTTGGCATCATTAGTGCTTTCTATACTATTTGCAAGTATTTTTTAGTGTTCATTATTCATCAAGAAAGAATTTAGCTTCTGTTTCTGAGGTAGTCCATAGTTAACCATGAGATGTGTTTAGTGTCATTTAGGAACCATCATCTCTTCACTTTAGTGATCATTTTCTGAAGTCTACTGAAATGTTTCCAGTGTGAATGTTTGCTAATCAGGCCAAGAACACCACCCTTGTTTACCAGTTAAAACTTAACTCTGAGTCCCTTTTCTCCAGGCACACATCAACTCATGCCAGCCCTAAAGTTCTGTTCTGATTTCATTAGTTAACAAGACATGTTACAACAATAAATCCAGCTTGTTCAGTTGTTAATTTGATTGCTATAACTCTGGATTGCATGGTTAGGACATGGGTTTCTGTTATGACTCTTTACGGAAGGTCATATTTTGCAGGTGTAACTTCAAGAAAACAAAGCCAAACCCAACTCTTCTAGAAGGAGTGTTTCATAACACAGCGGTTTTTTCGATTGTCGAGCAATCCTAAAAGCAATTATTGTACAACGTTTCCTTGGTCTTCCAGACCTCAGCTTAACCTCAAACATTATACTCTCATTTCTTTCTTACATTCCACTCCATGGAAATGGTGACCAGAAATTCTTGGCTATCATCTGAGACTTTTCCACGGTGGGTTTTGATTAGTTTAACTTTTAGAGGCACTCAATTAAAGAGGTCCATTGCTGCTGATCTCTGGGTAAGGGCTGATGAGTTGCTCTTAAAAAAAAAAGAAAAGAGTGAAGAGTGCATTTTAATTCCTTGTTTTTTTCTTTCTTAAAGTTAATGAGGAAAATTAATCTCAGCGCTTACCGTTCTTTTCTTTAATAGCATTATAAAATAAAAATACTACACAGAATAATCTTGAATGGACTATTGATAAGGATGCTAAATTTCTTTATTATACCTTGAACCCAGAAATTAATCTCTATTGACAGCAATCCAACCTTTTGGTGAGCAGAAACAGTTGCTGGCCATCGAACTACACATAGTGAGATTCAGTCTCAACTAATAATGAGGCAACAATGACAGATCACAAAGAACAAATCTTAAAGTAAGTCAACCATGTGAAACTTAAAGACATCTCACACTGACGTGCATGAGACCATGACATATAAACTGCAGATGATTACCTTCACCTGACTGAAAAGGCCCCCAATTAATGAAACCCATTGATTTTCAATGCATGTTTTGTGTTTAATGAGCCGTGAGCAGATTCTACAGAAAATTGAAACTGTGGGCATTAAGAAAGTAGTATCTATAGACAAGAAGGAAGTTATAATTGAGGATGAAGAGGATCCGATGTTGCTATCGTTTACAGATAGAAAAAGAATGAGACCACAGAATATTCCAGTTAAAGGAAACTCAGAAAACTTACACATGACTTAAACGCTGGCACACAAATGGCCGAGACTCTTTCTAACCATTCTGCTCTGCCCCTCTGTCTTCCTCTCTCTCTGATCATTGAGTGGATCATTAGCTGTCAGGGCCATTGAAACCATACCCCCAACCCTGAACTCCCATTCCTGCTCGCCTCTAAAATATTCATAAGGACAATTAGGAGTTCCGATAAGGCGAATACGGAGGGCTGGGGGGCGTGCGGCACAGAGGGCAGGATGTGCCAGCAGGACGTCTGTTCTGCAACACCCTAAACCCCGACCACAGACCTGTCCTCATCAATCTGAGACACGGCAGCCTCCATCTTTGCCCCCAGTAAAGCCAGGAAGTCAGAAGAAGGTGGCACAATGCCAGCAAACCCCATATTTTCACCCCTATACCAGCAGGCTTAGCTCTGTCCTCGCCTTTGGGCAGGAGGGGTTGGCCGCACAGCTTGAACAGTGGAAGGAGGGTGGCACAAGGGCAGGCTGATTGTTGCACGATCTAACTCACAGAAGCTGTTGTGTATGAAGGCAAGGACTCATTTCAATCACACGGCAAGGTCACTGAACATAGAGGCAGACTCTCGGCTTATGCTTCTAATAATCTTTGGCATAACTACTGTCACTGCTCCTATAAAGCTAGATATAATTAAATTAGGTCAACTTATGACCTATTTCATGCGGTTGAAGCCTCAGTTCATGCCAGGTATACGGTTTAAAAGTCACACGAAATGCATGGCTACATGCTATGCAAAGCATTGTTGCAAAAAACAATAAATTGTGTTGCTTTTTGAGGAAGCTCAAAGTTAGTTCATGAAGCTAATACAAAATGCAAAGACTGACCTCTTTCATGGCAAAGATAGATATGAAATCATAAATCATATTTATTATGCTGAACAAACAAAAGAAAACATGGAGGCTGTGGGTCTACCTTGAAAACTTATTTGATACAAATACAAATAAAAGGAGCCTAAAATGCTTGAGGAATAATACATTTCTTCTAGAATGACCCAGTTTAATTTGATTCAATAGATTCATTTCAATACTAAGCAGTTTGGTTCAATGCAGTCTAAATTAAATTCTTACAATTCCTAACAATGGCTTAATTTCTGAGAATGAGATATCAATTTACCAAAGCCGTTCCTTTCCATATTCTTTAGGATCAGAAATATTTAGCAGCAACATAGGCAAAAAGGGCAATAGATGGCACAATTACTCTGTATGGCACAGTATTGTATCTAAGATCTGACTGGGAGAAAGTCTTTTTATCTGGGTAGAGCTGAGCATTCGGATCTGTCGTGCAACTGCTCTAATAAATCCCTCTCTCAGGACTTTCATCAAATGTTCATTCTCCTTTTTTTTTTAAGATTCTATGTTAGATTCAATTATGCATTCTAAATTGTGTCACAGTTAACAAGTGCAACATGTGCCCCACAAGCGAAAACAGAGGGTGTCTCAGCTGCTCTCATTGTTGGGTATATGCGCTCGCCAGCTGGTAAAATAGTTAGCAGACTCTTCCTACTCTGCACATTGTCCATGACTGCATGTGAATTATAGACCCAAGCTTTGACAACTCCGACAACTGAGGTGAAGTTTTCATATTTACTTTATGAGTCTGCAGACAAGTCTTAGTCAATCAACTATTCGCAATTTGAGATTAAAATCAAGTTCTGCTTTCTATTGGTGTATATATACAGTAGTAATGACTGCTTATCAGCTTTCATTTTAAAGAATAATCATATCTGTGCTGGAATTATTCACGCTAAATATCTCTATGCTCACATCATACTATGCAACTGCTATCTAACTTTTAAAATTCACTGAAAATTGAATTTGTCTTTACGAAAGAGGACAACATATTGACAACTCTTGCAGTTGTTTCTCTAATTCCAGATTGTGAGATTAAGAATTAAGAATTTCAAACTCTATAGCATTAGTTCTTACTGTCAGTGAATGCAGACAAATGGACCGTGGCCTCTGGTCTTTGTTGTTTTGTCTCTTTTCATTGTCAGCAGTCCCAAGGTTTGAAATTAGGCATATGCAATATAGTTGAGCATGAGGAAAAAGCTCTGACGTCAATGAAGGAGGACATGTGCCAAAAGCAAAAATCTCTTAGCAGTAGCCTGGTAACAAGCGTCACACACACACACAAACACACACACACACACACAGAGTAGGGAGATAATAAATCAATGAAATGCAGTACACAATGGATTTGATATACCCAAATTTCTGTATTTGTCAATGGAGTACTACTTAACTATTTAAAAGGAACCTATAAAACAGAAAACAGGGATGCAGCTGGTTATGGTCAGTTTAATTCCAGCGATCAAACTAATTAAAATTCAGTTCCACAATAAAGGACACTGATGTCAGAGATTAGTCTAAGTAATAAACCTCATGAACATTACCAAAATTGCTTCATTACACTCAGAGAACTCCAAAAGAAGACTGGCGACCCTTTTTTTGCCACTAAAAGCCCAGAGGAAAAGAAGTCCTTGTCCTATAAAAAGGGACACTTTGAAACTCAGCATGTTGCTCGCAACAGAACCATTAGTGCTGCTCACTGTGGAGAAGGAATACTTTACAGAAAACTCTCACCAAACTGCTTCATGAGAGCTATTAGTGTGTGGAGATGTTAGGCTGTAAGTCAAGGGAGGAGAAATAACTATCTTAATGAACTGTGATATGTATGTAACACCACAAACCAAAATTTGTGTTTCTTCACATACAAGAATTACAATATTAGATTCACAATATTACAACATACTGTACAAGTGGAACCAACTATTATGACCATAAACGACATTATCAGATGTATTTCAGTGGCCAAAAAACTCTTCTTTCCACTTCCACTGTTTTTTTCTTTTCTGTTTTCATCTTTTCCAACTGCACAGGTCTAAAAATACACACTGAAGCTGTATGAACAGACGGTGCATTTGTTTTGACAAGGAACATAAGTTAACTCTAAAGTCTGGCCTGAAACAGAAGTACAGCGGCTTCTCCTGTTACCAGGAGAAGCCCCTGTACCAGAATACTGAGGACACGCAGGAGTTAGGGAATAACTTATCCTCACATTTAGGCCAGATGAGGAGGCAGTAATACGATTTTAAGAATACCATTTTTATTTTCTAGTAGAGGAACTGTTGAATAGGTCTTGCAAACATGTGTCAATCAGTGACAACCAATTCAATGACCACAGTATGACTAAGTTGAAATTACAAAGAAATTGATAATAATAATAATAATAATAATAATAATAATAATAATAATAATAAT